TTCCAGGAGGTTGGAAGGCTATAAAGGCAATAAAGAATAAGAGGGAAGCTAATTTGATCTTGGTTACAGGAGTCTTTGTCCTTACCTAGGTCAATCCTGGATCTAATAAAAGCAACCAGAAATTAAAGCAGACATGTGAGGATCCTCCCACAGAGCCTCCCAGGACAGTCCTGTTAACAGTATGGAACCAAACATGGGAGGTCAAATATGGCTTGAATGATTTCTCAATCACCATTGAATGGCATGACTAGGGAGGGGGCTTATTCTGGCTTTATCCCCATGTCCAGTTTAGCTGCAGAGGTACAAACCACTTCGGCTAAGCAGAAAGGAGTTTAATATTGAGAAATGCGTACATAAAAAATTTACACTGGGCTTCCAGGAATGACCCTAGAAAAACATGACTGAATTGGCTGCCTGGGGCTGCACCCTCTGCCACAACTAAGAGAAGCCACTAGTAAACTGCTGGCTTAAGGACACAGCTGTCATATAGGGAGAAGGAGGCTGCTCCAGTGACCTCAGCTGCCCCTCACATGACACTGGAATGCTGCACTATGGCCATGCTTGCTATGCTTCCACCTTCCCGGACTCATGCTGGTGCATCTGATTGGGTATCCTAGTTCTCATCCAGATCCTAGCTGCAAAGGAGTCTGGCAATGTGGTTAGTTTTCTTTCCTCTGCAGTGCAAGAAGGTCCATCAGAAGGGGTTTAACTAGAGGTAAATAACTCTAGTTAATGATAGGTCACCATACCTACAGCATCTTCTTTTTACTGTGCACTTGGAGGGCAGGTAAATGGAGCCCAGCTGTGTGAACTATGTTAAACATAAACACTGTTTTGGCAGAGAGAGCTCTCAACTCTGGTTATTTTTCCATATTTTATATCTAAAGCTGAATTTTAGCTGAATGCAGAAGAAATGTTAATATTTACTGTGATTCTCATCTCTTTCTTTCTCCTCCCTGCATAAAATGCAATTAACTCTTTTCAATTTGTACTTTTCAAATATAAAAAAGGCCTTAAATTTTGTACGTTTATTGAGACCTTCCACATGTCAGGTATAGTTGTGGGCAAGTGGGATAAACATCAGAATAAGACAAGGTCTCTGCCCTCCACAAGCTCAAAGTCTGGCTACTTTGGGGAAAACCAATAGATCAACAAATAATCACAGCAGAATGTGACAAATAAATGCTACATGGGAATACAGAAGAGAAAGTCAGAGGTACAGTTATTGTGTACAAACTCTTTTCCTGAAAATCTCATACACTTCATTAGGTTCACTATGTTAAGAATCATATTTAGGCCAGGCACGGTGGCTCATGCCTGTAATCCCAGCACTTTGGGAGGCCGAGGCAGGTGGATCACTTGAGGTCAGGTGTTTGAGACCAGCCTGGCCAACATGGTGAAACCCTGTCTCTACTAAAAATACAAAAATTAACTGGGCATGGTGGCAGCGCCTGTAGTCCCAGCTACTTGGGAGGCTGAGGCAGGAGAATCGCTTGAACCTGGGAGGCGGAGGTTGCAGTGAGTTGAGATTGCACAACTACACTCCAGCCTGGGCAACAGAGTGAAATTCTGTCTCAAAAAACAAAAAAAAGAATCAAATTTAATCAAACAATTGTCGAGGGAAAACACTGGCACAGAATTCAGATGTTGTAGGTTAGCTTCTCACCTCCCACATCCAACCTATCACAGGGTTATGCCAAGCGTATTACACATTTCTCAAATGCCCCAGCATCCTCACTGCATTTGATTATTGAAATGGTCTCCAGTTCTCTCCAGCCCTACTCTGAACGGTCTTCCATTGCTACCAGAGTACAGGCTCACGGACCCAGTCTCACTTGTGATTACACCCCTTTTGTGTCTTGCTTCACTTCGTTCATGCATCCCCCTGTACAGCAGTATCTGGTTACTTACCTGTCACCTCAGTTTGACTGTAAGAGGCTTGGAGGCAGGTGACATATCTTAATGGTCTATATCCCTACCACCTCATATAACAACTAAAATGAGTAGACACTTAAGAAACTATGCCAAGAATTAGCAAACAAACAGGACTGTTTTGAAAATGTCAGATGTGTTGCATATGCTAGAATTTTTGTCCTCAAGAAGAAAAAATGTTACTCTTTAGCAGAAAATCAGGTAGGTTTTAAGAAAATTGTAGTATATATTTTGACTGTATCTTGTATCTTTTGACTTTACCAAGTAAAGGGAGGAATACGTTTTCATTTGTTATCTGGATATTTGTCCACCATTTTAAATTTGCCATTTTTCTTCTCTTCTCTTTCTTTCTTTCTTTGTTTCTTTCTTTCTTTGTTTCTTTCTTTCTTTCTTTCTTTCTTTCTTTCTTTCCTTCTTTGTTTCTTTCTTTTCTTTCTTTCTTTCTCTCTTTCTCTTTCTCTCTCTCTCTCTCTGTCTTTCTTTCTTTCTTTTTTTTTTTTTTTTTTTTGACAGAGTTTCACTCTTGTTGCCCAGGCTGGAGTGCAGTGGCACGATCTCAGCTCACTGCAACCTCCACCTCCAGGGTTCAAGCAATTCTCCTGCCTCAGCCTTGCAAGTAGCTGGGATTATAGGCACCTGCCACCATGCCCAGCTAATTTTGTATTTTTTAGTAGAGACGAGGTTTCACCATGTTGTCCAGGCTGGTCTCGAACTCCTGACCTTAGATGATCCGCCTGCCTCAGCCTCCCAAAGTGCTGGGATTACAGGTGTGAGCCACTGTGCCCGGTCAATTGGCCATTTTTCTACATATCCATTAGCAAAATAACTAAGTTATCAAGATTTGAATTCAGAGCATCTTTTAGCCCTTCCTTCACTGCTATTCTAACTACCTCAATTAATTACTGTACCAGTATGATCCCTTCTTTAGATTTTTTTTTTAACTTTTAAGTTCAGGGGTACATGTGCAGGATGTGCAGGTTTGTGACATAGGTAAACATGCGTCATTGGAGGTTTGCTATATGGGTTATTTCCTCACCCAGGTATTAAGCCTAGTATCCATTAGTTATTTTTCCTGATCCTCTCCCTCCTGCCACCCTCCACCCTTCAATAGGCCCCAGTGTGTGTTGTTCCTCACCATTATACTAGCATTATCTAAAGTCAGCTGTATAATTATAAAGACAGGAACATGTAAAATAAGGAATACTGTAAATTAATTTTGCAGTACATTTATATTTTCATCCCATCCTCCCCATCAGTTTGGCAGTGATCCTGCCTTGCATCTATCAGACAGAGAGTTCTAGGGTGCATTTATGCCCCCTTTTTGCAGATATCACTACCTAAGACCTCTGGGTTTAAGATCTGGCTTCAAGACATCTCTATTTATACTCAGTGGGGATCAACTTCACTGTGTAGTAGGAGGTGACCAGAAAAACCTAATCTATCTAAAATATCTCCCCCTCTTCCTAGAATTGCCAGCGGAGCTGCTCTTTTGGATTAAAGACCTAATTGGAGGTCTTGTCTGTAGCAATTAAATGAATTCTTAAAATGTACCTGCTAGCTGAGGAGAGAGGTGAGATTAGTTCCTTCCCATTAACCTCTTAACTCCCAGGTACACATTCACATGGATTAGTGTGTGATAATCTTGGTGTTGTAACAGCAGAGGCCCCAAAGAAATTGAACAAAAATAGGGCATTTTAAAAACGTTTAAAAAAATGAACTGTAAAGATGAACATAGCATTAGAGAAAGTTGAGAGAAAAAAGCGCAATGTTCTTTGATTATTTTTTATTAACTATTTCTTTCAATGCTCACATTTTACTTTTATAATCTGAAAAAATATCCTAAAACATGCTTTTTAAACCAATATTCCACATCTTGTGTAACTATTACCATTATTGTGTCCTTCCTTACAGTGTGTATATAAATATTTGTATACGGTTGGGATCAGTTTGTGATATATTTCCTTTTGCAACTTAACATTGCTAAAGCACTTTGCTGGTTCTCATACTGTTATTTAATTGCCTAATACCTTAAGGAGATGAAGCTTAATTCATTTAGAATCCCCTATTGCAGGGTATCTTGGTCGTTCCTAACTTTTTAGTATAAATAGCTCGGTGGTACACATTTCCACGCATATACTGCTCCTCCTCCCCTCCTCCCACTCTGAATGACAGGGCTGGCGGAGGTGGGGGTCTCTTTGAATGGTCCTGGGAATGTTTTTCGTCCAAGCTCATGCCTTTCCTAATTTTGTTTAGTCACCCCTTCCTCCCACCCCCACACATACCCGACAAAGAAATGGCTGGGCATAAAACCAACATCTGGTGACCGACCCGGAAAGGGGCCAGGAGCTGGGGACCACCCAGGTGGAGGGGTCCTAGCGAATCCCACCCACCCTCAGTCCTGCGCCGCAGCTCTGGGGGCGTCCTCATCCAGGACTGGTTTCAGGTCAGCCGGCGACTCGCAAGGCCAGGCTGCTGACTTTTCCAAAACGCGAGGGACAGTCCGAAGGGTTCTGGGGCGGATTAGCCCAAAGAGCTGCGGGTGCGGGTCGGTTGAGGGAAGAAAACGTGCGCGCGACCTGAGTCCGAAAGCTAGACTTCTGATCCTGGTTCCCCGCGGGGCTGGACTCGTGACCCTGAGCTAGTCGCCTGACTCGCTGAACCTCAGTTTCCTCACCTGTGAAATGGGGATAATTGTCAAGATGAGGAGATAACTTGAGCACAGCACTCTGTGCAGCGCCGAGCACCGAGTAAGGCCTCCCTAAACGCTAATCAACCTGTGACTGGGGAAAATCGAGGCTCAGGGCCGTCCCGTCCAAGTGTTTTGCCGAGGCCCCAGGGCTTGGCTAGGGATCCACGCGGAGTGTGAACGGAGTTGCTCACAGCGGCCAGGGGCTCCGCGAGGATCAAGGGGAGGAAACTCACCTTCTTGGCCCCCGGGCGTCCGGCAGGTGCCATGGTGCCGCGGCTCTGTGGGCGCCGGGTTCCCGGGCGCGCGGCCGTCCAGGAGTCCGCCCCCCGCCTGGGGGAGGGTCCGACCGCCGCCCCGCCAGCCCTGCGGCCTCAGGCTGCCCGCTGGCCTTGGAGTAGGCGCCCGCGCCCTCGGCCTCGGCCTCTGCCTAGTCATGCTCCGTCCCGGCGCGCAGCGGCTGCGGGGCCTCCTGCTGCGGAGCTGCCCGCGGCGGGGCTCTCCCGGGCGTCCGCGCTCTGTCTGCGGCCGGGAAGGGTGAGTGGGGCCCCGGCCTGCTCAGACGCGAAGGGGCGGCTGCGGGGGTGGGAGCCAGAGGCTGAGGCGGGCTCTGAGGTTAGAAGCGCTCCGGCCTTCAAGAAATGGGCCTTGATATATCTTCTCGAATTATCTATTAATTATAAAGTGAAACAGTATCCAAAGGTTCCCCGCGTAAAGTCTCTCCTGCCCCAATCCCCTTGGCCAGTCAACAATTGTTAACAGCGTGTTCTGAATCTAACCAGAGACAGTCTATGCGTAGGCAAACACAGGTCAGTATAGGTTTTCCTTTGGCTTTCTGATATCTTGCTTTTTACAGTTATCAATACATCTTGGAGATTTTCCATATCAGCACACACCGACTTGCCTTGTTCCTTTTAATGGCTGCATAGTTTTCCATCCTGTCAATATTCTACACTATCGTTAAACAGTCTATTCGTTAACATTTAAATGGTTTTTGGTTGTTTATTACTGCAAATAACGTGCATGTGAAAATTCTTATGCATCTATCTTTGAGTACATATGGGAGTCGGTAGCACCAGTTTTTAAAGGTGAACTTGTTAGGGAAAGGGTTACATGCATCTGAAAGATCGAAAGACAGCAACACATACTCCAAATGGGTGGCAAGAGTTTGCATGCGGAACACCAGTGTGTGTCTGTTTCCCACATCTTCCCTAGTTCCCAGAATAGCCCATTTTGTTATCTTTGCTAAATCTGATAGGTAAAAATGGCATGTCCTTGTTTTGATTGGTCTGTATTTAAACATGAGCAATGCTGAGCATCTTTCGACTTCTTATGTTTGCAGATTGTTCCTGGCTGCCAGGTAAGGCTTGTTTACCAGCATCACTCAACATTATTACCAGTTGATTCGAATTTTATTTTATGTCCTATGACCTGAAATTCTGGAATCAGAAGACCTGCTTTTGAGTTCCATCTATCCATCCAACACGTATTTACTGGGTGTTATGTGCTAGGTTTGTCTCCAGTGCTGGAGACAATAGCCACCAACTCACAGTTCCTGCGCCATCCGTTACACAGAATGTGACCTTACACTTCTGAGGTTCAGTTTCCTCCTCTATAAAATGAGGATACTAATTTTGGTCTATGTAACTCACAGGATTGCTGTGAATATTAGATAAGAGAATGCGTGTGAAAGTGCTTTGAAAATTGTAAAGCATCACAAAAATATTTATAATACTCTTGTTTTTAATCCAATGCTAAATAAAATGGAAATTTAACAAACAAGTTAATCTGTTTTAAACTGATTAGATAAATAAGATACAAATTTCAAGACTATCCCCAAAATTCATATTTTGGCTGGGTGTGGTGGCTCATGCCTATAATCTCAGCACTTTGGGAAGCTGAGGTGGGCAGACTACTTGAGGCCAGGAGTTCGAGACCAGCCCGATCAACATGGTGAAACCCTGTCTCTAATAAAAATACAAAAATTAGCTGGGCGTCATGGTGTGCACCTGTAGTCCCAGCTGCTTGGGAGCCTGAGGTGGGAGAATCGCTTGAACCTGGGAGGCGGAGACTGCAGGGAGAGGCGAGATTGCACCACTGCACTCCAGCCTGGGCGACAGGGATTCCATCTCACAAACAAAAACAAAAACATCCAAAATTTGAGTTATTTCAATTGCATATTCTTTATATACCCAATTTCAAACTATCAAAAAACCGTTTTATTTTGGAAAGCAGTTGAACAAGCACAAATTCAGGTTGTGCTTGTCATTTCTAATATAGAAGATAACTGACCTGGGTTTTTTGCATGGCTCCTAACTTTTATTTCAGATACCTTTATGACCATCCTCGACTACATTCAGAAGGATTTTAAGATAGTTATCCACATAATCAAAAACACTATACCTAGCCTGAAACCTGTTATGGCATGCTGGGCAGAGGAAATACTATCTATTTGATAATGCTTTATCATATGTTGCCAAACAGAACCTTCAGAGCTCCATTTTGTCAATGAGAAAACTTTGTGTAGATTTCTCTAAAATAGCTATTCAATTGGACTGGGGACTCAAACCCAGGTTTCCTGATCTTAAGTTCTCTTTTGTTGTTGTTGTTTCAACTGACCACTGTCCTGAAAGAAATAATTCTTTTGAACACACAAAAAGAACCTTTAAGATTATTATTTTTGTCACCACTATAATGGTTTCAACTGAAGTACAAGATATGCCCAGTCTATTTAAAAATGCATTTCTGTCCAAAGTAGTTGGGTCATATGTACATTATTTTTTTCTTACACAGCACACAAAGAGACATTAACAGTCATCTAAAAACTGGTGAAACAAAAGTACTGAAACACTTTGTGGCACCAGGAAATAAGGACATGCTCTAAGAATTATGTAGCCATGTCAAAAGCATACAGGAGTCAACTTAAAGAACTTGATGGCCAAATCTAGGACAATTTGGGATTAAAGTAAATGATGACTAGTAATGGATTGGAAACCACTGAAAACAATAAATATCCATAAATTCGTATTAATATAAACAACCAACCAACAAGCAAGGGTGAAAGAAAAGCACTTCCTTACAGTAGGATGCCATCTATTAAATATAATAGGAATGATGCAGTTAGGAAATAATCAATAAATGTTAAAGCCACTCAGTAAAAGTTTGATAAGGACCAGGATATTTACATGGTCTCAAAGTAAATTTCACATTATTACTTATACAAAGGAAAAATTGGTAGCTTTACTGGATAAATCCAACAGATACCACCTTAAGCAAGTCATCAGGTAGAAATAACACCAATATCAGGACAAACCAACATCATACACTTCCTAATCGTATACACTGGGAAGGAGTTCACATCAATTTCATGTTGTTTTTGTCAAAAATACATCATGAGGAAACACCAGACAAACTCACAGTAAGAACTGTTCTACAAAATAACTGGCTAGTATTCTTCGAAAATGTCAAGGTGATAAAACACAAAGGAAGTATTAGGAACTGTTCTAAATTAAAGGGGATTAAAGAGACAGAATCCTGGATTTCATCCCTAACTGGAAAAAACTAGCTATAAATACATTACTGGGATAATTGATTAAATTTAAATATGGACTATAGATTAGATAATAGTATATCAATGTTAAATTTCTTGACTTTGAGAACTGTACTGTCATTATGTAAGAGAATATCCTTTTTCTTACAAAACTAGCACAAGAATATTTAGAAGTAACTGGGTATGATACCTACAATTTACTCTAAAATGTGTACACACATAGAATATACATATTATAATACACATATATGTATAGTCATGTGCCTTATAATGATGTTTTGGTCAATGATGGACCACATATACAATAGTGGTCCCATGAGATTATAATGGAGCTGAAAAATTCCTATCACCTGATGATGTCATAGCTGTCATAATGTCATATGCAACACATTGCTCACGTGTTTGTAGTGATGCTGGTTAAACAAACCTACTGTGCTGCCGGTCACATAAAGGTATAACACATGCAATTACGTACAGTGCATAATGCTTGACAAGATAATAAATGACTGTGCTACTGGTTTATGTATTTACTACACTATACTTTAAATCATTATTTTAGAGCATACTCCTTCTGCTTATAAAATAAAAAGTTAACAGTAAAATCAGCTCAGACGGTCCTTCAGGAGGTATTTCTGAAGAAGGCATTGTTACCAGAAGAGATGACAGCTCTGGCCAGGCATGGTGGCTCATACCTGTAATCCCGGCACTCTGGGAGGCTGAGGCTGGAGGATCACTTGAGGTCAGGAGTTCAAGACCAGCCTGGCCAGCATGGTGAAACCTCATCTCTACTAAAAGCACAAAAACTAGCTGGGTGTGGTGGTGCGCATCTGTAATCCCAGCTATGTGGGAGGCTGAGTCAGGAGAATCGCTTAAACCCGGTAGGTGGAGGTTGCAGTGAGCCAAGATTGAGCCACTGTACTCCAGCCTGGGCAAAAGAGTGAGACTCTGTCTTGGAAAAAAAAAAAAAAAAGTTTGAAAAGTTAAAAAATATATACATATATTTTAATAGAAAAAAGGTTCCAGAATAACAATATAAAGAAATAAAATATTTCTATATAGCTATAGAATGCATTTGCATTTAAACCATGTTATTACAAAAGTCAAAAAAATTTAAAAGTTTATAAAATAACAAAGTTACAGTAAGCTGTTAATTTATTATTGAAAAAAGAAAAATATATTTAAAAATAAACTTAGGGTAGCCTAAATGTACAGTGTTCCTAAAGTCTACAGTAGTATACAGTAATGTCCTAGGGCTTCACATTCACTCACCTCTCACTCAGACTCATCTAGAGCAACTTCCAGTCCTACAAGCTGGATTCATGGTAAAGTACCCTAGACAGGTGTACCGTTTTAAATCTTTTGTTTTTTTTTTTGAGACAGGGCCTCCCTCCGTCTCCTAGGTTTGAGTGTGGTGGCACAGTCATGGCTCACTGCAGCCTCAACCTCCTGGGCTCAAGCAGTCCTCTTACCTCGGCCTCCCAAGTAGCTGGGACTAAATGCATGTGTCACCACGCCTGGATAATTTTTGTATTTTTTATAGAGATGGAGCTTTGTCATGTTGCCCAGGGTTGTCTTGAACTCCTGGGCTCAAGCAATCTTCCCACCTCGGCCTCCCAAAGTGCTGGGATTACAGGTGTGAGTCACCAAACCTGACCTGTTCTCTAGAGTCTTTGAAAAAAAAAAAAGCTACTTGTTCATTTCTTTGGCTATAGTAGCTACAATGGACCAGAATCATTATATGGAATGGGGCTCAAATACCCCTCCCCCAACCAGGTTGCCTAAGTCACAGTTTAGATGCTCCAAATTGTTAAATCAATATCATGCAAATCTCAGTCAGTGGGTGTTAAGTACTAGAGAAACAGGTAAGGGAATGTGCATTAGTCAGGCCAGAACTAGAGCTGCCATAGCCGAATAAAGTTCCCATTTAACTTTCCCTCTTCCAGAGAGGAAAAACCACCCTCATCTGCAGAAACGCAATGGAAAGACAGAGCAGAAACAGTGATCATTGGAGGTGGCTGTGTTGGTGTGAGTCTGGCTTATCACCTGGCCAGAGCAGGGATGAAGGATGTGGTCCTGCTGGAGAAATCAGAGCTCACGGCTGGATCTACCTGGCACGCAGTAAGAAAAGCACCCCAAACTGTCCGAAGGGTGGAATTGTGCATGAGTATAGTCCATTTCCTTCCTGTTCACAACTCCCAACTGTGAGTTCTTTAGAGTGTGTTCCCTTCCAATAGCGTTGGAAGTGCAGTTGTAGTTTAACTGGTGTACTGGCAGATGACAACCAGTATTTATGATGTCTTTATCTTGATCATATGGCTTCTGGATTCAAATCCCGGCTTTGCAATTTTCTACCCTTGTGACTTTTGGCAAGTTACATAAATTTCCATTTTCTGGTGTCTTAATAGGAATATTAATAGTACTTACCTAATAGGATTGTGATGAAGATTGAGTTAACATGTAAAATTATTAAACACAAGGTATTGAATAATAAATGTTAGCTTTATATGGAAGGATACTATCTGAGTGAACCTGGATATGGGCCCAAGATCTTTACCTACACTTCCCTCACCTGCATTTGGTGATCCTTTTATTTATTTATGGTTTTATTTATTTTTATTTTTATGTTTTTTGAGATGAAGTCTCGCTCTGTTCCCAGGCTGGAGTGCAGTGGTGCAATCTCAGCTCACTGCAACTTCTGTCTCCTAGGTTCAAGCGATTCTCTTGCCTCAGCCTCCCGAGTAGCTGGGACTACAGGCGCACACCACCACGACCAGCGAATTTTTGTATTTTTAGTAGAGACGGGGTTTCACCATGTTGATCAGGTTGGTCTCGATCTCTTGACCTCGTGATCTGCCTGCCTCGGCCTCCCAAAGTGCTGGGATTGCAGGTGTGAACCACCGCGCCTGGCCTTATAATTTTATGCTGTGAGATGATAGTGTGGCCCCCTGAGGACTTGACTATGAGGACTGCAAAAGTGTGGCACAGCTTTTGTGTTACATAAGACACAAGGCCAAGTCAGTCTTGCATTCTTTGTGGCATGCATAATTGTTCTAGGGCTGTACCATAATTGACTAGGCTTACCTGGAAAGCTGCTCAAGTAGATGAAAGGATTGACATTGCTGTCATATTGCCAAACCAGGGATTTCTGACATCAGCTCAGGATGGGAGAGGAAGTTTTTATGACTGCTGGTGCAGTTTTCTTTTGGGCAGCATTAGCCCCTGTTCATCATCCCGTTTCATCATTAGCCGTGCTCGGCTGAGAAGAGGTAACAAGAGGGAACCCTGCTTTGAGGGGCTTTTTGACATCTAGCATGTGCTCAAAGTATACGGTAGAGACTCTAGCGTGAAAGGGGTTGCCTGCTTCCAGCGCAATCTGGGGGAGGGTGCTGCCCAGACTCAAAAGCCCAAAGACCTTGCCTTTGTGGAGCTCACATTCTGGTGGGGCAGACAGAAAACACACCCGTCAATGCTACAGAGTAATCACCATGAACAAAAAGTAAAATACAATCAAGGATGCAAAATAATGGAGGAGGAGAAGAAGGAGGTGCTAGGGAGGATGTTTCAAAGAGGTGACATGCCAGCAGAGACTGGGAATCAGTGAGCCAGGGGGCCATGAGGCTATTCAGGAAAGAGCATTTAGGCAGGGAAATGTAGGCAAGTGGAAATATCCTTTGAGGGAGGGCTTACACCCTCTCACCACTTCTGAATTGTTCCTGAGGGCATACACTTTAATGTTTGAATGACTTATTTGCTCACTTATACACTGATTTAATGTGGCCTGCATTTGATTTTATTACTATTATTATTATCATTATTTTTTGAGACAGGGTCTTTCTCTGTTGCCCAGGCTGGAGTGCAGTGGTGCAATCACAGCTCACCATAAGCACAAACTCCTGGGCTCAAGCGATCCTCCCCGGTAGCTAGGATTATATAGGTGCGCACTACCATGCCCAGCTATTTCCTTAATTTTTTTTAGAAATGGGAGTCTCACTATGTTGCCCAGGCTGGTCTTGAACTCCTGGCCTCAAATGATCCTCCAGCCTCAGCCTCCCAAGACTTTAGAATTACAGGCATGAGCCATCACACCTGGCCTGGCCTGCATTTTAGAAGAGGTTATAGGATTCCTTAAAATTTTGTTTCTTAGATGTCCCATAAATAAAAAGCAACATACCCTTAATCTAAAAGTTAACTACACAAAATATTTTTTTCTGAAACACAAATATACCAAAGTGAGTGGGGAAAGGCATTATCCTGCTTTGCATACAGGATATTAGGCTATGGTTTACAAAATGAGGATCCACGCAGTGTGAGTTCAAGGCGGAATCAGGCATCAGAAGCCAGGTTATTTGGCCCCCATGGAATAAAAGAGACTTGTCCTAGGAAGTTGATTTTAGGGGTTTTTTTGGAAGTCAAAGATGCCTCCCTTTGAACAGCAGTATGAAGAAATCCAACGTATTAGGTGTTTTTTTTTTTGTTTGTTTGTTTTTGGTTTTTTTTGAGACAGAGTTTCACTCTGTCACCCAGGCTGGAGTGCACTGGTGTGATCATGACTCAGTGCAGCCTCAACCTACGGGACTCAAGCAATGCTCCCACATCAGCACCTGTAGCTGGGACCACGAGTGCGCACCACCACACTTTGCTAATTTAAAAAATTTTTTGTAGCGATGAGGTCTCCCTACATTGTCCAGGCTGGTCTCAAACTCCTGGGCTCAAGCAGTCCTCCCACTTTAGCCTCCGAAAGTGAAGTGCTGGAATTATAGGCTTGAGCCACTGAGCCTGGTCATATTCAGAATTTTTTTTTTTTTTTTTTTTTTTGAGACAGTCTCGCTCTGTTGCCAGGCTGGAGTACAATGGCGTGATCTCAGCTCACGGCAACCTCTGCCTCCCAGGTTCAAGAGATTCTCCTGCCTCAGCCTCCTGAGTAGCTGAGACTACAGGTGCATGCCACCATACCCAGCTAATTTTTGTATTTTTAGCAGAGACGAAGTTTTAGCATGTTGGCCAGGATGGTCTCAGTCTGGTGACCTTATGATCTGCCCTCCTCGGCCTCCCAAAGTGCTGGGATTACAGGCGTGAGCCACCGCACCCAGCTGATACTAGGGATTTTTAACACAGATATATTTGTGAAGTAGATCTGAGAATAAGGAAGGTTGCGGAGCCAGCTAACAGGGGCAGGCTATAAAAATAAAGACAGTTTTCCTGAAGCATGATATGTGCTCCATGAGAGAAGTGACTGAAGAGTGTGGGAATTAAATGCTTGGAGAGGAAAGTACAGCCTGCAAAGTGAATCTTCTGAATGGAATCACAAAACCATAAGGTTTTAACAAGACTGCTTTGTCAGCTCATGATACACCTAATAGTACAGAGCATTTCATGTGGATGCAGGGAAACGAGAGGATGGAGTAAGAAGGAGGTTTGGAGCTCGGGATCCCCAGGAGGGGCTGCCCCTCGGGATGGCACCAAAGTAGATGTTTGGAGAGCTGAGGACTCAAGATTCAGGATGAACCATTTGGGGTGTAGGAGGCAACATAAGAACTTTCCATTTGTTTTTGTCTGCAGATATAAGAAAGAAGTTAAGCTTTACTGATATTTATAAATAGCCCTCACATTTGATGTGGACGATGTGTTGCGTATGATTTCAAGGTTGACGACGCGAGAGGTTGGCACTTCCTGGTGGGAGTGTCCTCATTCTCTCTCTTGTCTTCCGTGTACCATGACATAGTGCAGATTTCATGCTCTAGGATATCACCGCTGGGATTAGCTTTATAGAAACAGGGCTTTAAATAATATAATGTGTGATGAAAGGGAGAGGGGTGAACTTTAGAGTGTTGTATTACATAGAGGTTTGCTGGTTACCCACTAGCAGTAGCTAAAAGAGTTGTGAATGCAAATGGCTGCCAGTCATTTCTACATAGCAGATTATATATTAAAAAAATAGTGCAGCCTGTCCCTTCACAGAAAAAGTGATGCTTTGAGTAAGTGAGAAATCATTGCCTTTTGCAAAATAGTCCTGTTGGGAAGAGAGCATTTTGAAAAGGGATGTTTGGAAATGTTGGTAATATTATTAGATTTTCTGGCCCAAAATGATATGTATCATGTAGAAAAACTCTCATATATGTGAGAAATACATTTTTAGCCCATTTCAAATTTTTTCTAAATGAGGAGTTTCAATAGGATTTGTTCCTATTTACTTAAAATATAAAAAATGCGATACCTTCCAACTAGTTTGTAACAACTGGCAGACACGAGAACATCAAGTGTCATAGTCAGATGTGAAGAGAAACCTTCATATGGGTGTTGACTGAGGCAGAGGAAGGGGTGTCAGGATGCAGAGACCCAGCCAGTCGTGCCCTTCTCTCACCTGGGTCTGTGCATCACTGAGCGGTGTCTTCTGCAGCTGTACAGCCGTTAAAAGCAGTCTCAAAATAATGTAAAGCCAGAACCAGGCCTTCACATTGCTGTCTTACAAATGTTAATGTAGCACAGATATTCTAATAATGACATGTGTTAATCACATAGCTCTCGCTATCGTGTTCTTAATAAGCTTCATATGCAAAAGTTTTTCTACACAATATATAAAATAAAGTGTTTTGAGTACTTCACTTATTCTAAGTTGTTTTTTGTGTTTATGATCTCTATTAATATTTAGTATCACATGTAAGGAAAGAAACACACGTATTTTAGTGGTTATGTTCAAAACTTTGTACTGGGTGTAAATGTATGAGTGAAAGATTTGGAGCCACTGGAATATAGGTTGGTTTGACATCGGTCACTGGACTTTTTGAGGTAGTTGAGGCTCACGAGATGGGGGAGGGTTGTTAAAGAGATAGGGGAAGCACTAGTTAGCATCCATTATGCTATCCATTATTTAGCATCCAGTGGTGAATTTTCTAACTCCATCATTCCTTTTATACTAATTAATTGTCAGTCTAAGGAAGACCTTTACATTCCCTTCTACTTATTTATTTATTTATCTCAACGAAGATTTATAAATTCTTAATTTATTTAAAGGGTTGTATTCTTAATGATTACATCTCTGTTTCATCTTCCCTTCCTTATCTTCCCCACCAACTGCAATCACTTTTTCCAAACGATAGCTAAACTCCTTTCCTATGACATCCGTGACCTTTCTAGCATCTTCTCTTTCCCGAGTTTCACAGCTACTATGTATCTGGGACTCAATCATTTACCCATGATTTAATTGTTTCATGTATGAAACTTTCATAACCTCAATCAGACTATAAAATCCTGAGTGATAAGAATAATGTTTTCTCCTTCTTTCAGACTTCTCATTTAATATGTCCTTGTTGAAGTCACAGAAGAGAAAAACATTGTGCCATCTTCATATTCAAGTCTGGCACTTAAATTAAAAGATATCATGTGTGATGTCACTTTCAAATAATTTAAATAGAAGCACTAATATGGGTAGCCCCAAATTTTAAACAGATTTTAAAAGCCAATATATAAAAGAAAGGGTATAAAAATTAAACAATTTTTATATCTGAGTGAGAAAATTGAGTCCATATCTTATTTCTGACTATCACAGCAGCAAGGAAAAGAGGGTAGTGTGAATTGTTTAGTAGAATTGGGTATACCGTTGCAGTAAGGGAGACTAATTTTTCCTTGACAACGAATTTCTAAAAGAATTTGTTACCTACACCAAGTACATTGGGCTAAATGTCTTCAGTAAGAGTTTTTGAAAAATGAACCAATGTGACCTTTTCAAGTGAAAGAGAATTAACTTAAAATTTCTGGAGTGAGGGAGAAGAGGATTGTGTCATGTAGATAGAGAATTTTCCAGTGGTCTAGCTTAACCTAGGTATGAAGCTTAGAGGATCTTGAGGAATGGATGGTGATAGGTACCCTAGGCTAGTGCTTGTGATAACCAGATTTCTCAACTGACAATATATGTTGCCAGTTTTATATAGGGCATATATATAGGACATATGTTAAAGACAAATTGGGGGTCACCAGCAGATACCTGAAGGCCTGGGATTCTCTATTATTGAACCAGGAAAGTTTGCATGCACACTGGATACCAACACGTTAAAGCAGCAGGGCATGTTTGGCCATGAAGTTTAAGAGCTTGGCTTACAGATGCATTGTAATGGAATCCCTTCTCTGCTTCCACATGGAGCTGTGCTACTGGATGACCTGTAAGCTGGGCCAGGATTTTTCTAAAAAATATCCATATATATATATATATACATATCAGCCATGGGTATGTCCAGATGCTTGAACAAGTACTGGATGGAAGCCCCAGGATTTTGGTTATAAAGGATGATTGACAAACTTCAATAGAGTATTTGAGTGCCGGAGGATCAGATGCTCACCACTACCATAGAAGCGCCTTATCAATACTCATAAGTAGATTTTACTGTGAACAGATTGTGTTCTGATGAGCTTTCCAGAATAAATTAGCTGCCCAGTGAGGCCCCAGACACTCGAGAGAAACTGCTTCATATAATTGCTTAGAATTCTTTGTCTGGATTCCACATTTTATCTGCCAGATTTGAGAAGAGGAGGTTTTAGTGTAGCTAATGTTTAGATACTTTTTTTTCTGAGAATAATCAATCAATATTTATTCAACAAAGATTTTCAGTGTACCACCTATGTGCTCATCAAACAGGTTAAGCTTTGACAAAAGTCTATTCACCTATTCATCAGGCTCTAGTGATAAGGAATTTTCTAGTTTTAAAATTTTACAATTTCAGGAAAGGGCCAGGAGGGCTGCTCCATTTAAGGGAAGGGTGGAGGCTGGGTCAAAGAAGATCCTATGCTAGTCCATGTTCCTTCTGCTTAAGGGAACACACACATGGTTTTCCAGCTTGAGTCCACATTGTATGCCATTCCCACATTACTTTTTTTGTTGTTGTTTTTTGAGACAGAGTCTCACTCTGTCACCCAGGCTGGAGTGTAATGGCGTGATCTTGGCTCACTGCAACCTCTGCCTCCCAAGTTCAAGCAATTCTCCTGCCTCAGCCTCCCAAGTAGCTGGGATTGCAGGCATGCACCACCATGCCTGGCTAATTTTTTGTATTTTTAGTAGAGATGGGGTTTCTCTATGTTGGCCAGGCTGGTCTTGAACTCCTGACCTCAGGTAATCCACCCACCTCAACCTCCCAAAGTGTTGGGATTACAGGTGTGAGCCACCGCACCTGGCCTCCCCAATACTTTTATTGATTGATTGATTGATTGATTGAGATGGAGTTTCGCTCTTTTGCCCAGGCTAGAGTGCAGTGGCATGATCTTGGCTCACTGCAACCTCCGCCTTTTAGTTTCAAGCAATTCTGCTGCCTCAGCCTCCTGAGTAGCTGGGATTATAGGCGCCCGTCACCATGCACAACTAATATTTGTATTTGTAATAGAGATGGGGTTTCACCATGTTGGCCAGGCTGGTCTCAAACTCCTGACCTCGTGACCTGCCCATCTTGGCCTCCCAACATACTTTTCTATATAGTCATATATAGGACTATATAACATATAGCCCTAAACCTTCCATCTAAATCATCCCATTTCTGAATCTCTGTACAATGCTATCCATGTTAACTTTTAGGGACTTAACATGTATGTTTGTTGGCTGGCTCTCACCTTACTCACGTAGTTCACATTGCTTCTTAAAACCTGTCATGAGTCTTATGCTCTGGTGTGCTCAAACTGGTGCTGACGTGTTCTCATTCCAAAGGACTGGCTGGTGCTTCTCAGTTTCTTTCCAGCATTAAATTATTGCTTAACACATAAACTGTCAACATTTTGAGAATGTTAATTTTTTTCGGTATTTCTTTTCCTCTCTGCTTTTAAGGCAGGTTTAACAACTTACTTTCATCCTGGAATAAACTTGAAGAAAATACATTATGATAGCATCAAACTTTATGAGAAACTGGAAGAAGAAACTGGGCAGGTAAAGGCATTTCACTTGAAACTGTCTGTTATGTCGGCCTCTCAGAAACATGTAAGATTTCTGAAGGATTTTGATGCATCATTGTGTATGACTGTGTGAAGTGCCTGATGTAGTAGAGGAATATGATGAGAGCTTAAGGCAAGAACCTCTAGAGTTTGCTTTAAAATCAACTTAATTTCTCAAAGTATATTATTCATGTCATGAACCATTCTTTATTTTTTAAATGAAGAAAGAATAAAAAGCAGCTTTCAAATGTATCTTTAGCTAGTTACTATATCTAGAAACTAAGAAATCAGAGTCTTTCAGCAATTGCATTGCAAAGGATCTGACAATGGAATGTACCAGATTGTTGCATGCCTTTGAACAGTACTTCATTAAAAGCTCCTCACTCATGTTTATCCCTTCTCATATTTGCTCATACTCAAAATAAAATGGCAGGCAAAATAATATCCATAGGCTAAGACTGAGTTCTGCTCAAATTTTCCATGTCACTTCCCTTGCCTAAACCATCCAATGGCTCCCCACAGTCTACCGGACAAAGCCAAAGGATTAGCATGGCCTTAGGAACATGACCTTTGTCAACTGACCTCTGCCTGCTGTCCCAACAGTTTCTTTTGCCACTCTTCCCTCTGCTTATCTGCTTCAGCTACTCTCAATAACATATAGTTTTGGAATGCGCTGAGCTCTCTCAAATCACTGCTTTTTGTTTGTGTTGTGTTTTGTTCTGTTTTCTGCTGCTTCCTCTGAAACAACATTCCCCCTGGCCCCATCTTCAGCATCCACCTTCCCCAGGGTAACCCCCTTTGAGAAGCCTTGCTTGACTTTTCCTGCCTGCTAGGCAGGTCAAAGCTGGAGGTCCCATCTCTTGGTTCTCAGAGCATTTGTGCACACTTCTCTTATAACTTGAATCTCTCTCTATTGTAATTATTGATTTACTTGTTGATCCTCCCAAAAGTAACTTGAGGGCAAGGGCTATATCTTTTATCTCTGTAACTGAGTGCTTGGCAAACTGAAGGACTTTAATAAATGTTAAATGAATGTTTAATTCAATTCAGACAATCTAAGCATTGTAACATTTTGATTCTATGTAATCTCTCCTTAATTTTTTTGTCTTTCTCTTTTTCATACAGTTTTTTTTCACTCTGTACATTAATACTCGTTCCATGCTACTACGATTTTGCATTTAGCTGTCTGTCTTCAACTGTGGGGTGTAAATGCCACTTAGGCAGAGTCTTTACCTTTCTTGTTCACTCTGACATCTGTGGGGCTTAGAATGGTGCCTGGCACCAAAGAGGCACTTAGTAAATATGGTAATTGCTGAATAAGTGTCTTTTAATAAGATGCAAATATTTTAATAGTTATTTCTTTTGCTCATAATAAATCTTTTTGTACAGCTGCATTTTTATTATACTGGAGCAGAACCATGTTTGAGTATCAAATAATGACTCATTTATATGTTTTTATTGGAATTATTGTCACAGGTGGTGGGATTCCATCAGCCAGGTAGTATCAGACTTGCTACCACCCCTGTAAGGGTAGATGAATTTAAATATCAAATGACTCGGACTGGCTGGCATGCAACAGAACAGTATATCATTGAACCTGAAAAAATTCAAGAGATGTTCCCTTTACTCAACATGAATAAGGTATTTATCTTAAAGGCATTTTTACCATTTGTTGACTTAAGTAAAAATTAGAAAAAGTTATTAAGAAGTTAACTAAAAACAGAAAACTTTGTATACACATTTTAAATGTGGCAAAATCATGTGATTAATTTTGGAATTTGGGTAATTTACAAGGTGGGCTGTTATATACAGTAAATGATATATAAAAAGGTAATGATAAATCTTGTTTTTCACCTATGACAATTGATTAAACATTTTCAATACCTTTCCATTATTGTGTACCCCAGATCTAAGGGTTTCCATACACAAATCTTCTGTTTGAGAACACAGGGAGAATGATAACCTGATATGATAAATGTCTAGAAAGACTGTGGTATTAAAATGTTTTAAAAATCAAATTAAGAAATGCCATGGTACATTGCTTTACAAATACCACCTAGCTTATAGCTGTACTCTCCTTACAGACTCTGTGCCAGGTACGGATCTAGATTCATACCACATTTGCCTGAGATAATCTACTTGACATGAAATTTAGTGTTTTTTCCTACTGGGTAATAATTCCTTTTGAATAATAATAACAATGACTGACACTTACTATAGCACATATTTATGTACCAGTTAGTATGCTAAGTCCTTACATGCATAATTTCATGTAATCATCACAATAATAGTATGAGGCAGGCCAGATGCCATGGCTCACTCCTTCTATCCCAGCATGTGGGAAGGCCAAGGTGAGGGGATTGCTTGAGGCCAGGAGTTCAAGATCAGCCTAGGCAACATACTGAGACCTCATCTCTACAAACTTACACACACACACAAAATTAGCTGACTGTGGGGTAGTAGGACTCCATCTGTAGTCCTAAGTACTTGGGAGGCTGAGGCAAGAGGATCTCTTGAGCCTAGGAGTTTGAGGTTATAGTGAGCTATGATTACGTTACTGTACTCCAGCCTAGGGAATGAAGTGACAGCCTGTCTCTAAAATTTAAAAAATAAAAATAAAAAAATTATATCTATATCTGTGTTATGTGGTATATATTATTGTTAAACAAGAAATTTTAGCTTAGACAGTTTACATAGTGAACCCAAGCTCATTCACTGGAAAGAGCTGGAGTGGAGATTTGAACCCAGGCTCTCCGACTCCCTTGCATTATACATACTGCCCAAGTGTATCAGATGGGGCTGTTGGGGAAACACATGCTTATTTCCCTGCTGGTGACCACTGCAGTGGTTCCAGTCTCTGAAGGTTCATATCATTGACCTGGGCGCTAGGGTTGTTTGCCTTTGCGAGTCTTCACAGGCTGCTGGCACTCCCTTGTCTGTAGTTGTGTGTGATACCAGTGTGATGGCAGATTGGTTCTGCACTGCATTGTCTGCATTGAAATTTTACCTCCACTACCAGTAAGGATATACTTATATTTGTTTATATGTCAATCTTGAATGCTTTGCTGGAACTCCTCACTATCATGAATTTTTCTCAAGGGCATTCATTAAGCAATGGGAATATGTGTGAAGGGTGTTCTCTGCATCTGGGAGAGGGTACCAAACCAAATGGATGTGGGATCACTACAATGAGGTCATATCCATTATAAAACACCTGTGTGACACTTGGAAGGCTTTAGAAATGTGAATTCCCTTAAAATAGAAAGTCCCTTGCACAAGACCTATAATAAATGAAAGGATTGAATTCGTAATCAAAAACTTCCCACAGAGAAAACCCCAGGCCTGGATGACTTCACTAGTTAATTTTACCAGATATTTAGAGAAGACTTAATACCAATCTCTCTCAACCTCTTCCAAAATAGAAGAAAAGTGAATGCCTCTCAACTCATTCTATGAGGCCAGTATTGTCCTGATAACAAAATCAGACAAATGCATCCCCCTAAAAAGAAAGACTGGTATCCATTTTGAACATAGATACAAAAATCCTCAACAAAATACTAGCAAACTGAATTCAGCAACATATAAAACAGATTATACAGTATGACTAAATGGAATGTATTCCAGGAATGCAGGGTTAGTTTAACATCTAAAAATTAATCAATGGAACAATACCACATTAATAGAATAAAGGACAAACTACACAATTATGTCAATAGATACAGAAAAGACATTTGACAAAAGCTCCTTGCTTGTATTTGGTGCTCAGCCAATTTTTGTTGAATAGATGAGACCTGTATTTAATATTTCACTGATCATTCTATGAACCTATCCCATCTGAGTTTCATTCTTCTTTGTTCTCCCCACAGTACCTTGCCTAAAGGCCTAAAACAAAGTAGATATTCAGTAATTAATTGCTGAATTATTGAATCGAACATAAATTTCCTGACACCAGATATATTATTTAACATGTAATTTATTAACAGTATTAAACAATTAAATATAAATTATAATTGATATATCAATTGGAATTAGATTTGGCTTCAAATGTCAGAAACCAAAATAAGGTGTAAACAAGAAAGAGGTTTATTTCTCTTTCTTTTCAGCAGTCCAGGACTTGAATGGTGGCTTTTTCATGAAGTCTTCAGGGACCCAGTTACTTTCCAGATCAAGAAACAATTTTAATGTCCAGTTTTACTAAACGTTTGCTAGCAGGATATATTTTTTACTGAGTAATAAGTATATATTTGTTTGTATATTGACTCTGCTATGATCGATTTAGGTTTTAGCTGGATTGTATAATCCTGGAGATGGTCACATTGATCCTTATTCTCTAACTATGGCCCTGGCTGCTGGGGCTAGGAAATATGGTGCCCTTTTAAAATATCCTGCACCAGTAACTTCTCTGAAAGCCAGGTCAGATGGAACATGGGACGTTGAAACACCACAGGGGTCTATGAGAGCAAATAGAATTGTGAATGCTGCAGGTAAGCATATTGTTTTTTTTGAAATTTCTGTTTTTTTAAGTGCCAAAGAAAGAAGATATTTAGCCATAATGTTTCATACTATGGATGTTGTCATGAAGCACTGTGATGCTCCCAAATTAAACGTTTTGTCTGTTTCTAAGTGGCAAAGCCCTCCCTCCATCACTTTGCTGTTGGTGGATGCGCTAACACTCTGTCCTTGGCTATCCATACAAAGTTGCTTATTTCCTCCATTCTGCATTTTATTTTGCTCCAGATTGTGTTTTTCCAAATTATGCTGCTTTTTCCTTCCTGTGTTCACTGTTTCTGTATATGAATAACCAAATTCTAGTGCTGAAGTTCATAAGCATCCTTCTTGTGTCCAGTTTGCTTTTTAGGGCAGATTTGCTCATTTGGGTTCTCTCTTATCCATTTCTGATGACTTTTGACTCTAGTTGAAAAAGTTTTTAAACCCTTTTCCTTCTAGAACAGTATTAAACGTATTTCATAATCTTCTCTTTTGGTTGTTCTGTTACAGTTTGGACTCAGAGTAGTGAAGCCTAAAGGGATATTTGGGATAATCCAACAACACACTTATTTTCATTTGCAGAGGCAAGGTCCAAAAGGGTCATGTTACTTGGCCAAGTGGCCACTGATCATTATGTCAGAGCCAGGACTGGGATCTGGCCTTTTGATTCTTGAGTTAATACACTTTCGAATAGGTGGATTGCATGTCAAGTCATTTTTAACTATCACACATGCAAAATAAATTACAGTGAAAATGCTTGTGCAGTCTAAACTGGGATAATAGTTTATATTTTCCTATGGTTTATAATGTTTACTTTAAAACTTAAAATAAGCATGAGGCAGTGACTGATTTTCTTTGAGAATGAAAATAATCTTTATTATTTATCTGATCAAATGATATCCCATGAGGACAAGCCAGAAACCCATACCCTTATGATTCTTTTCTCTGTATTGTAACTTTTGATATACATATATGTATTATATATATATTTTTTTGAGACGAAGTTTTGCTCTTGTGCCCCAGGCTGGAGTGCAATGGTGCAATCTCGGCTCACTGCAACCTCCACCTCCCAGTTTCAAGCGATTCTCCTGTCTCAGCCTCCTGAGTGGCAGGGATTACAGGCACCTGCCACCATGCCCGGCTAATTTTTGTATTTTTAGTAGAGACGGGGTTTCACCATGTTGCCCAGGCTGGTCTCAAACTCCTGACCTCAGGTGATTCACCTGCCTCGGCCTCCAAAAGTGCTGGGATTACAGGAGTGAGCCACAGTGTCCAGCCAATTGATATTACTTTTAACAAAGCATTTTTGGTGGTCCTAGAGACAAAGTCATGTCTTCAATATTTAAGTCTAAATTAGTTATTTCCGAATTCTCTTACCCATGCCTCCTATTTGAAAAGCAATAAAATATCATGCTTTCTTTAATATAATTTGAAATTTGCAATAATATTAAATAGCTTGCCTAAAAAGTAAGAGCAGTGGTACAATACAACATTGCATTGTTTTTGAGCCTCACTTTCCCTCCAGTCTGACACTATACTCTTTTAATGTCCTTAGGAATCTCTGGTCTAAATTCTGTCAGAAAACTTAAGACAATGAATAATTCAGACTTTTTTCTAAGTAGCAAGGATTCTTTGTAATTTTGCAACTTTTTCTATAGTCTCATGAATTCAGGCCCTAAAAACATTTGACTGTTTTCATCATGATAGCAAATACCAAAGTAACATACTGAGACTTCCACATCCAGCACCTGTGGCAGATATTGCTAATCATCACTACACTCATTTCAGATGTGCTTGGACAAAGCCCCACCATTTTTCTCAACACAGTACTTTAGGCAATCATACATTCCTGATTGACATTTTGAGAAATAACATAGAAGACCTTAATTTAACACATCCATTGTTTTCCTAAAATGGATCAACATACAAACATAATGAGTTGTCATTGTAATACATTTTTTTTTCTAAACCACATACTGTAACAAATAAGGAATCACTGAAGAGGAAGACCAAATGATCTCCAAAGAGATCTGACCTAAACCCATAACACTAGTTACCAGATGAAGCTTTCTCTGCAGCTGTGAAATCTTGTGGGGTGATGGGGTACAGGAGGGCAGGGAAAGGAGGTCCTTGAGAACAGCTGTCTCATGCTGGCCTGGAAAACAAGTCCCTGGAATTAGGACAGAGTGGCCCTGCATGGAGTGATAATGTCTCCCTTTTTCCTTTGTTCTTGTGCTTTTTGCCTAGCCACTTCCACTGCCTTTTCCTAGTAACTCCAGGCAGCTCCTTGCTGAAACTTGTGGGAAGTAACTTATCTCAATTCTTTATCTCATTCAGATCAGACCTCTGCTCCCTAATCTTTATTTTTTTTTCTTTTTCTCTTCCATCTCTTTTCTTCCACTGGGTAAAAGTTACCAAGAAAATCTAACTGATTACATATTAGCAGTCCACAGGAGGTGTGGAGGGGTGTGTATGTGTGTGTGTGTGTGTGTTTAATTATCTGTAAGTCTGTTTTCAAAAAATCTTTATTTAAAGCATAGAAGATCCCCCAAAGGGTAAGCCTCAGTAATTGGGAGCAAAAGTTTGCATATGCTCTCTTCTAGAACTGAAGCTAACAAAGATCAGTTTTATGAATAAAAGCAACCATCTGCAGTAGGCATCATGCTATAATAAAATGAGTGGAGTGTGTGTGGCTGGTGGAATGTTTCCCACAGTTTCTCAGTGTGACCAGAGTATCTCCCAAATTCGGGCAAGGCCCTCAGACCAGCACTGAAATCTGATTAAAGGAACCAGGATATGGACTTAGAAATACAACCAAAGTGAAAAAGATGTAAAGGCTGCTGGGTCTGCAGGGTATCCATAAAAAGAAAAGTCTAAGAGTAAAAATTTGTCAGCTGATGTGTTTCTGGCATTGTCCATGGCAGTGGTGCTCTGTGGCCCAGAGACATACACATTGCCAACTGAGTGACTTGGGTAAGTTATTTATGTGTAAAATGGGGATAATATCTCCCATCTTGAAAAGTTATTATGAGTAGTAAATAAGCTAATAATGTAAAGTACCCAGCACAGGGCTCACCAGGTAGAAAGCAGTAAAAAACTTAGGTAATTATTATGATCATTGCAATTATTTCCTTCATATTCCATGTCCTAGTCTGGGAGACACTAGCATCAGGTTATGATAACTTCTTGGTACCAGATTTAAGACTGCTCAACTGCTTTCTTTTCCAACTTACTAGCAGAGTGGGTGCAGAATCCAGCGCTGATTCTGCTGGTAAGTTGACTTCCCAAAGAGCTTGGTTATCAAGCTAGTGTGCATAAGAATCACCTCGGGAAGTTTCCCAAGCTTCAAAAAGATTCTAATTCAGGTGGTCTGGGTAGGTTCTCAGAAGCTGCATTTTAAATAACTACTCCAGGTACTATACTGTCTGTACCAGATGATCTGCAAGAAAATCTTTAAAGAAACACTATTGTGTAGGTGTTTCTACAGGAGAGAGAATATAATGACTGTATTCTGAGCTAGCAGAACTGGGGAAGTTTCTGATGCTTCCGACCTCTTGATGGGCAGTAGTCTAACTTGCCTTTAGTTACTGAAGCTTTCCAAATTGGCTTCACTCTACCCTTTCCCTCAGGTGCAGCTCAGGGACGCGGGCGGGTACTAGTTATTATGATGCAGGCTTTTTCTCCACATGGTGTTGAATGTTTCTCTTGACCTCATTTCCAGTTGACTCATTAAATCTGAGATAACTTTCTAAAATTTACTTAAGAGTTTTCCTAACACGGCAAATCAGAAATGTGATTGGGTTGTGCTCACATGAAGCTCAGTGTTCAGCCAAAAAGACTTGCTTAATTGTGTGTGATACTCTGCATCAAAGCATGAGGCCATCATTGTCATCATATAAACCATCTAGTAGGTGTAAACTTGTCCGTGAACCTTCAGCCTGCATTTTAACCTCATTTTTATTAATCACTGCATTTTTAAAAAATGGAAGTCATTTCCAGTAGTCATTTTTTTTTTTTTTTTTTTGAGACGGAGTCTTGCTCTGTCGCCCAGGCTGGAGTGCAGTGGCAGGATCTCGGCTCACTGCAAGCTCCGCCGCCTCCCGGGTTCACGCCATTCTCCTGCCTCAGCCTCCCTAGAAGCTGGGACTACAGGCGCCCACCACCACGCCCGGCTAATTTTTTTGTATTTTTAGTAGAGATGGGGTTTCACCGTGTTCGCCAGGATGGTCTTGATCTCCTGACCTCGTGATCCGCCCACCTCTGCCTCCCAAAGTACTGGGATTACAGGCGTGAGCCACTGCGCCTGGCCCAGTAGTCATTTTTAATTGACTCTTCTCTTCAGTTGTTTTTCAGGTAGTAATGGTAGATTTTAGAATGACTCTTCCACACTTGTCTCTCTTCCCTTGGACTTAGTGGGTGGGTGATCAGGCAGGAGTTGAAGTGTAACTCTAGCTAGATTTAGGTTAATTTGATTGACGTATGGAAAAAGAGAATACTAAAGACACCAGTCCCATAGATGTCTATGGGTAAAACAGCTTGCTATGGTATTTGAAGTAATATAGTGATATGATACTTCTGCACACATTTCCAGTTTATATTAATGATGAAGTGCATTAATAAGCAAGCAATTGGACTCAGAAATTCATAAATATGTTTGAATAGGACAGAATTTATTTTTTTTCAATTTATGTTTTTAATTGAAACAAATACATTGAGGATATTGTAGCAGTTTGAATTGCTAGGCTAAATATTTTGATTTTTGTATATTCAAAAATTGTTCTAGTGTATATAACTAGAATATGTGGCTTCGCTGTATTTTCGTACACAGTCCAGACATTGGTAATTCACATCTTCCTACTAGCAAGAGTAAATTAAGTCTCAAAATTACTAAAAGACCAACACACCTGTACTAGGGGAGACTGAGTTGGGCAGATTGCTTGAGCCCAGGAGTTCAAGACCAGCCTGGGCAACATGGCAAAACCCTGTCTCCATAAAAGATACAAAATTAGCCAGGTGTGGTGATATGTGCCTATAGTCCCATCTACTCAGGAGGCTAAGATGAGAGGATCACCTGAGCCTGGGAGGTCGAGGCTGCAGTGAGTTATGGTTGCACCACTGCCCTCCATTGCAGCCTGGGCGACAGAGTGAGACCATGTCTCAAAAACAAAACAAAACAGGCCGGGTGTGGTGGCTCACACCTATGATCCCAGCACTTTGGGAGCCAGAGGCATTGGATTACCTGAGGTCAGGAGTTCGAGATCAGCCTGGTCAAAATGGTGAAATCCCATCTCTACTAAAAATACAAAAATTAGTCAGGCGTGGTGGCGGAGGCCTGTAATCCCAGTTACTCAGGAGGCTGAGGCAGGAGAATGGCTTGAACCCAGGAGGTAGAGGTTGTAGTAAGCCAAGATCGTGCCACTTCACTCCAGCCTGTACAACAGAGCGAGACTCTGTCTCAAAAAACAAAACAAAACAACACCGGCAAATAGCTCCGATGTCTACAGTTAGATTTCTGGCTTGCAAATGGGTACCCATTTCTGGATTTATTATACAAGTGTGACCAACTTAGCCATTGCAACAAACAAAACAATAGAATGCAAAGGAACGGTTTAGATGGTTACAAGGAAATAAACTTACACACACACGTACATAATCTAGGTTCCCAGACTGATTCATAATTGATGATTCTCTGTCTAGCTTGGAACCTCATAATGATAGAGACTTCAGGACTCCTTATTAGATTCAGAAAAACAGCAGAGACAGTAATGGTTAAAAACTTATTGTGCAACCCCTAAAGAAATAAATAGGATCGTGTAATCATTTCAATGATCACTCAAAATTATTATGAAACAAGCAAATAGAACTCCCTGCCCCCAGATCATCTAATGATGGTCAGTCAACACCATATCCTTGCCAAATAATAAGCATTTTTATTATTTTAGATTATAAAATCCCTTTATACAGTGAAGGTGCCTTGGATTTTAAAAATAAAGTCTGCAGCAAGAAAAACCAATAAGATGTGATGATTACAGGATGTCCAGTGTGGCCTTGGGCATGTCTTACCCTACTAGCCTTTAGCTCCCACATCTGTGTACTGAAGGGTCAGCATGGGAAATAATCCAGGGTCCTTTCAGCCACAGATTATCCAGTTCTATCTTTTGCAAATGAAAAAAGTAACGTTCACCTCCACAAATAAGACAATCTTTGTGCTAACAGTGAAGTGGGAAACATTTGTCTAGGGAACTCCCCGCCTACTTATGAGACCAATCTCCCCTTTCTTGTGGCTTCTCTTTCTACCTAGTTTTGACTTCTGGTGCTTTTGTGCCTTTACGATAAAGGATCTTACAAACTTATTCACACTAAACTTCTAAAACAACAGATAAAACTTAATGTGGTTTCTCTCCCAAAGTATGCACCATTTTCAAATTTTAACTTAACAGAACAATCTTGTATTTTTGGAATTTTAGACATCAACAATTTGGGGAGAATAGGGCTTAGAGGATAGAAGAGTTGGCTTGTAGGGCTTTCTTAGGTATATCATTATGTATTAGGTTGGTCACAGCAACACGGGGGCCTCTTCCTTTTCCTGACTGTCCCTGTCCACAAATAGGGGCAGTCTGTAACAGTGCTTCTGATTGACATTTGTACATGTTGTATATTTGGGTTGTTTGTTTTTTCTTTCAAATAAATTTTTTTTTTTTAATTTTTTTCCTGCCTACCTTTGCTTGTGGGTAACAACATTTTCAGGAATGGAGTTCCCCTAGATCACAGATATCTTCGAATCTCTGGGCAATGCAAAGTATTGTCTTCTCTTTCCCCATTCAGTTTTGCAATGACAAAAAGTTTAAAGATGGTTATGACATTTATTAGACTTTGCCATGAGTACTTAAGCCTTTTAAACATTTTATTCTAATATAAATTGTTACGTGAGTGTCAGTTGTGTATTTATATATGTGCTGACACTTTTAAATGATTTTTTTGTTTAAGGATTTTGGGCTCGTGAAGTAGGTAAAATGATTGGACTAGAACATCCTCTCATTCCGGTTCAACATCAATATGTTGTTACATCGACTATACCTGAAGTGAAAGCTTTGAAACGAGAACTCCCTGTGCTCCGTGACCTGGAAGGATCATACTATCTCCGACAGGAAAGGGATGGGCTTTTGTTTGGTCCATATGAAAGTCAGGAGAAAATGAAAGTTCAGGACTCCTGGGTCACCAATGGAGTTCCTCCAGGTGGGTTTAGCAAATGAAAGTGTGTGCTGGTCAGACACGAATGGTTCATCCTCTCCATGACTGGGGGATGGCTGTAGAATAAGACAACAGCATAATACTAGACTAATTCAGATACCTGGGACATTGGAGGTGATGGGTTTGAGGTGAGCTCTGTTCTCATATCCCTTTGAACAATCACAGCAGGGAGTCGGGGGAAAGAAAGATGTAGCTGATGGTAGAGAAGCTGAAGAAACATTTCTAGTTGCTTTGAAAGGTTCCAGATACATTTTTACCTGCCCACACAACCTCCTGCCTCCCCATTTTTTTCCTTAATCCACTGCCAGCTTGGTCTACTTTCAAGATTTGAATATAGTTGCTATTGTGCTTTTACAGCTGGAAACACAACTGATATCAGAGGCCAGATATCCATCCTACTAAGAATGAAAACCTGAGAGTCTATAACAGAGCAGGGTTTTTGGTACTGTAAACAGAGTACTTCCCATGCTACGTAAATGGATATGGAAAAGGTTTGTGCCTCTATGCCAAAGCAGGGGATACTACAGTTTCTCTTTCAAGTTCTTTAAGGGAGATGGGTCTGTTTTTGCTTTTCATGAAATACTTCGACAGAGCCAGATTGAAGATTGGGTCATCTAAGGAGGTATCTCAGGTTTTAATCTATAAAAAGAGCTAAAAAATCACTGGGGACTGAAATATTACAGGGAATATAAAGAAATGTAGGAAATGGTACTTCCTAAAATTATACTTTGATAAGCTTCTTGAGATAGGAAATGAATCCCTCCATTCTACTCCTCAAAGTGTAGGCCCAAATAATAGCAAATGATCACTAAACTGCCTTTCACAGAAGTTAGGCCAGCTGGTTTCAGGGCTTTGGTTGTGCTGAGTGGGCTCTGCACATTTGGGCCTGAGCGGAACTGCTCCCGATCCCACAGGGAGGGTTGAAATACCACTAAAAGCCTCCCTCTCTGCTGTTCCCTCATGCTGGCAGCTTCTCCTTCAAATAAATCTTGAACAAATAATTAAATAATGTCGTTTGGAGGGAGAGCTGCATTGTTAGCTGTTGGTGAGCATGGGTACCCATGTGTGCTAGTTGACCCTGATGGTGTGCAGGCCTCCATGAGGCTGACCCTACCTGCAGTCCCCAGGAAGGGCAAGAAGCTGGCTGGCTGCTATGTGGAAAAATCACCAGTGTTGGTGGAGACATTCTTTTAGAAGCTCATCTGTGGCCCTGCCTGTAATCACAGTGACTTTTAGGACAAGAGGAGGATTGTGCTTCAAGACCCTGCCTCTTTTCAGAACTCTAGCCCTTGGATGTGTGTTGGGGCAGGCTGGAGGAAGGAGGCCTCCAGGCCATTCCTTCCCTGCTGAAAGGAGAGTTAAAAGAGGTCTAAAATCCATCATCTTAGATCCTGGAGCAGTGTTCCACTTTTTCCAGTATTCTACCATGACTCTGTAAACTCCCATTTGCCCTCATCTCGGGGGATAAAACAAGTTCTTATGGTTAATTGAAGCATAACGATCTCTCTTGACAAACCAAATTATGTTTAAAAAAAAAAAAACTGTGATTGGATTAAATATCAGAAACTATATTATTCATACATTTAAATTTTCTATTAATTAAAGGTTAACTTTTATGATTTTGTTTCAAGAACAATAACATTGTTTTCAGTAATATAAATGGATACTCATCTGTTGATAGTGAATATCAAGTTTAGACTTTAACACAATATGGCAGTACTTTCCCAACAGGCCATTTTTAAATGTAGGCCATGTCAGAGGCTTAAATCACTTTACAGGACTTGTCAGCTCAGCTATGGCATCCTGACCACAAAGGGCAAATCTTTTTAGGTTTTGGAAAGGAACTCTTTGAGTCTGATCTAGATCGAATCATGGAACACATTGAAGCTGCCATGGAAATGGTTCCTGTCTTGAAAAAGGCTGACATCATCAATGTCGTCAATGGTCCTATCACGTATTCTCCTGACATTCTGCCTATGGTGGGGCCCCATCAGGGAGTCAGAAACTACTGGGTGGCTATAGGCTTTGGGTAAGTATCTTCATGTAATTCAACATTTATTGTAGAATCACTTATTTTAGCTAAATCTAGTTCCATATTCTCAGGATGCAAAAGGGAAATGTGGGAGGCTGAGAGAGAGAAACAGAGAGAGACCCAGAGAGTTTTTTCCCTTTCATGACCAAGGATTCATACAATGAATAAAAAGTACTGGTTCAATCACTTGTATATGTTTTAAAGAAGGGCAATTATTTCCTGGAACACAGAAGGGCAATGATTTCCTGGAGCTTTCTCTTTTTTTTTTGAGATGGAGTTTTTCTCTCATTGTCCAGGTTGGAGTACAGTGGTGTGATCTTGGCTCACTGCGACTTCTGCTTCCCAGGTTCAAGCAATTCTTCTGCCTCAGCCTCCTCAGTAGCTGGGATTATAGGCATCCAGCATCACGCCTGCTAACTTTTTGCATTTTTTTAGTAGAGACAGGGTTTCACCATGTTGCCCAGGCTGGTCTCGAACTCCTGACCTCAGGCGATCTGCCTGCCTCAGCCTCCCAAAGTGCTGGGATTACAGGCATGAGCCACCATGCCCGGCCTCCTGGAGCTTTCTCTTTGCATATTTCCTGCCATTTCCATTAATTGTGTCTCATTTTATGCTGTGTATCTTCAGATAGTCAATTTGCTCCAGTTTTACAAGGATGTTTTCATAACACAATGTGACAAAGATAATTCAAAATATCAAATGTATAATATATCTGCTGCATTTTTCACCATAATTCATGTTTGTCCAACATGATTTGTTTCTTTATAATTCCTCAGGTTTCTTCCCATTTATGACTCCATTGCCTCTTTGATGTTTCATTTCTGATATTTGTTCCATTATTTTGGTGAATATTGATGTCAAGCCCACTCAACTATCATATCACAGCTTCTAATATTCTATTTTTCTTCCCCATTTTATTTGGCCATTTATTCAACTAATATTTAATAACTGCTAGCTCTGTGCCAGGCCTAGGGCTAGGTATTGGAACACAGCTGACAACAAGGCAGTGAGGTCTGACCAGAGCTGGAAGTCTGCCTGAGGCACAGCTCTGCTGATCCAGTAGAGAGGCTGGGGTCTCCACTAAGGTAGCAGCAGTGAAGACTGAGAGATGGGAGATAAAATTATCTAGATTTGGTGATCAATTCCATAAGATATTGAAGGGAAAGGGAAAAATGGCAAATGATGGCAACCTTTCTAACTTGACCACCGTCTATATGTTAGAGCCATGGAGAGAGAGCCAAGAAAATAATGAGTTCCATTTTTGATGGGTTGAGCTTGAAGTGTTAATTTAGGTACATGGGACATCCCGAGGGAGAAAGTCAGATGGAGATTTGGGATGGGGAGTTATAATGTAATTGAGGGCTTATATAATCACTTATAGAGTCCATATGCAGGCATGTGGAAGTAGGAGTGCTTCTCCTGCACATTACTCATATATCTTCTTTGGAGAAATGTCTATTCATATCCTTTGCCATTTTCATAATTGGTTAATTTGTCTTTTTATTGTTTCGTTGTGGAAGTTGTTTATATATTCTAGATACAAGAACCTTATCAGGTACATGATTTGCAGAACTTTTCTCCCATTCTGTGGGTTGTTTTTTTACTTTCTTGATGGTGTCCAATGAAATACAAAAGTTTTTAATTTTGATGAAGTCTAGAATACGTATTTTTTCTTGGTTCACATGTACTTTTGGTGTCATATACAAGTAACCATTGTCTAATCCAAGTTCGTGAAGATTTAAACCTATGTTTTCTTCTGAGAGTTTTATAGTTTTAGCTTTTGCATTTAGGTCTGTGATCAGTTTTGAGTTAATTCTTGTATATGACATGAGGTAGGTGTCCAACTTCAGTCTTTTCATATGTATAGCCAGTTGCCCCAGAACTATTCATTGAAAAGACTGTTCTGTCCTCATTGAATTATGCTGGCATCTGTAATGTCTTTTTTCTGATTCCTTTTCTCATACCAAACGTGCGGTACTTTCCAACACCAACAACCAATTCTCCAATTCTCCAGTACTAACTGGGTGTCCAACAATTCCATTCAATTCTGACACCAACTCCTGGAATTAACATAGACCCCACAGGTTACAGGATCTGTTCCACAAGACCGCTCTCACTTCAGACACCAGTCTCAAGTCGTGGGAGACACCCATACTTCTGACCAACTAAGTGTTCCCACAACCCTCTCCTCAGATTTGATAATTTTCTAGAACCAATCACAGAACTCAGGAAAATACTTATGTTTACTCTTTTATTATAAAGGATACAGCTCAGGAGTAGCCAAACGGAAGAGATACATAGAGCAAAATGTGAGGGGTTAGAGGTGGGTGGTGCAGTGCCCCCAGGCCCTTTCCAGGTGCCTTCCTAGCCCATCACTGTGTTCACCAACCCAGAAGCTCTCTGAACCCCGTGTCTAGGTCTTTATGGCGGTTTCATTATGTAGGCATGATTGATGAAATTATTATTGGTGACTGAATTCAATATCCCTTCTCCACTCCCTGGAGGTTGGAGTACGGAGTGAGACTGAAAGTTCTAAATCTCTAATCATGTGGTTTTCTCGCAACCAGCCCCTAGCCTGAAGCTACCTAGGGCTGCTGTCCTCTCTCCACAAGAGCTATCTCATTAACATTCAAAAAATAGTAAATCTCAAATGTTTTATGAACCCTGTGTCAGGAACTGGGGACAAAGACCAAATATTTAATTTTTATTATACCACAGCATCTTTATAAAAAATAAATTGACCATAGATGTATGGGTTGATTTCTAGACTCTCAGTTCTGCTCCTTCATCTGTGTCTATTCTTATGTGACTACTACACTGTCTTTTATTTATTTATTTATTTATTTATTTATTTATTTATTTTTGAGACAGAGTCTTGCTCTGCTGCCCAGGTAATGGCACAATCTTGTCTCACTGCAACCTCCACCTCCCAGATTCAAGCAATTCTCCTGGTTCAGCCTCCCGAATAGCTGGGATTACAAGCACGTACTACCATACATGGCTAATTTTTGTTTTTTTAGTAGAGATGGGGTTTTGCTATGTTGGCCAGGCTGGTCTCAAACTCCTGACCTCAAGTGATCCACCCACCTCGGCCCCGCAAAGTGCTGGGATTTCAGGCATCAGCCACCACACCCAGCTGACCCTCTCTTAATTACTGTTACTAGAAGTTACTAGCTTTGTAGTAATTTCTGAAATCAGGAAGTGTGAATCCTCCAACTTTGTTCTTTTTCAAGATTGTTTTGCTGGAAGTCCCATAAATTTTAGGACCAGTTTGTCAATTTATGCAAAGAAGCCAGCTGAGATTTTGATAGAGATTGCATTGAATCTGTAGATCAATTTGGGGACCATTGACATCTGAACAATGTTAAGTATTCTGATCCATGAACATGAAATGTCTTTCCATTTACTTAGGTCTTTTAAAATTTCTTTAAACAATGCTTTGTAGTTTTCAGAGTAAAAGTTTTGCACATCTTTTGTTAAATTTATTCGTAAGTATTTTATTCTCTTTGATATTCCAATTGAATTTTAGTATTAAATAATAGAAATTGAAGATCATTGACTGTAAGACATGTTCTGAGCAGACAGAGTCACTGATCTCATGTGGAACACCTATTAACTAATTGCTAAGGAAAGTAGAAAATTGCTTCCTCTAGAACAAGTTATTTATAACCTAGAAATCATATCTGTTTGCATGTGACTGGTGTCAGACTCCCCCCCCCCCAATTGCTCTGGCTAATTTTCTCAGGTCATGGATACTGGGAGGTGGGTGGAGAAGATAACAGGTGGGAGTGGGGGTGGGCAAAGTGCCTCCGTGTCTTTGACAGGTTTGGTCTAAACAAAAAAAGCCTTCCCCTTACCTAAAGTTGAGCTTTCTAAGATATTTCTTATGTAATATAATGGAATACCCCCATTAGCTGCCCCTCCTGGCTTATATCAGTACACTCATTCCATGGCTCTGGAGGCCAATGGTTCCCACACCTGGGTGAGGAGCAGAATAACCTGAGGAACACGTTAAAAAGCAGAGTCTTGACCATGTGGTTAGTCACATGCATGTTTTTTATCTCCTGTACCTCTCATCTGTGAAATTCCTATTATTTGTCATTAGAACCCATGTGGCTTAGTCTGCTTGGGCTGCCATAACAAAGTACCAGAGACTGGGTGATTTAAACAACAGAAATTTACTTTCTCACAGTTCCAGAGGCTGAAGGTCTGGGACCTCATGTTCCAGAGGCTGGAGGTCTGAGATCAGGGACTCTGCTATCATGGCAGAGTTCTGGTGAGGGCTCTCTTCCTGGCTTGCAGATGGCCACCTTCTGGCTGTGTGCTCATGTGGCTTTTCCTTGGTGGGGGTGTGTGTGTGTGTGGAGAGAGAGGAAGCTCTCTGGTGTCTCTTCATAGAAGGACACTAATCCTATCATGAGGGCCCCACCCTCATGACCTCATTTAACCCTAAGTACTTTCCAAAGGCCCCATCTCTAAATACCATTACATTGGGGATTAGGGCTTCAACAGATGCATTATGGGAGGACACGAACATTCAGTCTATAGCGCCATGAAAGATGTGTTGAATCAAAACAACCAAGCAAACAAACAGATTTCCAGATACTACTCCTGCAGATTCTGATTTAGTGGTCTGGAGAGGGGGCCCAGGAATCTGTATTTTATTGTAGTATTATCTGTAATTCTTGGTACAGCCAGTTCAGGGAAGTAGGTGTTTGCGAACTGCTTACATATGTGCCAGTGCCCATTTACCTTACTCACAGAATATCCTCAGCCAGAGCTATTTTACTTTGGACATTTGTTTACTCACAATTCCAACAAGTTTTTCTGCTTCTAGGTGACAAACACAGTGCCCAAAAAATGTCTTATGAATTGTATTTAATTGAATCTGATTTTCTTGGGTTAGAATAGATTATAAACAGCAAAGTTAAAGAAGGGAGAGTGCTATAAGATAAAACATCCAGTCATTTAACAGAATTATAAAAAGCAGATACACTCAAAAAGCATAGCAGCCTAGAGCCATGGAGAAGAATCTGGAATTCTGCAGATTAATGCTAGAGACAGAAGAAGAACCTAACCGTCCTCTCCTCTTTAAGTTCCCTTCTACTTTCACTTCACACCTTACTTCCTTATTAAAATCCTTTCAACTGGTCATACAAGGGCCCAATAGCCACCATGTATTCCTTGCCCACTATGTGCCGTGCAGTGTACTAAGTGCTTTTAAATGCCTTGGCAATTAATTCTCCGCCAGCACCATAAAGAAAGTGTGCACGGAAGAATGAAGCGCAGGGCGGTTACATAACTTGCCCAAGGTCACCCAGCTAGCAGTGGCAGAACAAGAATCATACCCAGATCTTTTCCCCATGCTTTTATACTTCTAGCTACTGAGCCAGGGATTCTCCAGAGATGTTTTCTATCTTCCTAAGATGATACTTTAAAATCAAGAACATGATGTGGAAAATAAAGGGGTTTTGACATCAGAAAAGTGATCGGTTTTACATTGGCCATGTGTAGTTCATAGCACTCAGCTGTATGGAATTTTACGGAAAGCTTGTTAATGGTTGGATAACTTGTTTGTAAAACATTTACTTTTTAGAAATAAATTAGATTTGATTCAGGATTCCCCTCCACCCTACTCCCACCCAAATAACAGGACTCTGCCCATTTGTTTGCTCATGTGCATGGTTGAAAGGGAAAGAACATGATGGTATAGCAGCCAGGCCATAGAAAATCAAAGCACCCCTGGCTCTGCCCTGGGAGTCTGTCAACAATATAGATAGTGCTGTATCTGAGTGTGTGTCCTGGCTCAACAAAGATTGAGAACCACTGAAGACAGAAAAGTCCAATAACAAGGAGCATGTGCTCCAGGGTCAGATAAGTGAATTTGTATCCTGCATCTACTCTTTACTGCTGTGTTACTTTATTTAGCCTCTGTGTGGGGGGCTTATCTTTCTCCTTAAAATAGACTTGCTAAAGCATAAATCAGCTTCTACTTGTTAGATGGAAACTCTGCCTGGTAAATGGGAGGCACTCAGTATTGGTAGAACTTCATAAGCCTTCAAGTCTTGTCAACAATATAGCTCTCAAAAATGGTACCTGTTCTATATGGGCATTGAGCCTGGTTAAGTGAATGTGCTAACTTTAATAAACGTTTTAAGCATATATTTATTAATTTTTCTTGCTTTCTTAAAATTTAGAGAGGTTGTTTGTGGATAATTTGGATGCCTCATGTCTATTAAACTGCCCAAAGGAATGTAAATTGCTGTTTTTTTAATTCTCTTTGAGAAATCTTCTATAAAATGTAGGCACTCATTTTTATGAAAGCAAAACAGGTGTCTTGTTGTGGGAAAAGTTAACATTTTCAGTGTTTGCTAAAGTTCCTCCCATGCTCTTAGAAGCTGTGGTTCTGGCTAAGTTGTTGTTGTTTGGGATACTAGCATTTCTGTGTCTTGATGTCTCCTTGTGTATCCCCTTTTCTTGGTTCTCTCCCCTTGACTCTCTGCTCATTCAGTTCCTTGAAAGCTCCTGACTTAAACCACAGATGAACCCACGGTAGAGGCCTTCATTAAACAAGAGTGAGTGGGTAGAACTATACATGGCCAATGTAAAACCGGTCCCTTTTCTGATGTCAAAACCCCTTTATTTTCCACATCATGCTCTTGATTTTAAAGTATCATCTTAGGAAAATAGAAAACAAGCCCATCTTCCCCATCAAGTGGCCTATTAGTTGCAAAATACAAGAGACAGTGTTCCTTTCTACCTCTTTCCACAAGTCCTCAGGTGAGGGCCTCTTTGCTTGAATGTTTCTAAGACAATGGCTCAAGTTCCTTGCACAGAGATCATTGTCTAAGGAGGTCAGAACTAACTTGAGTCTGAGAAGAGATGGATGGGACACCACAGTACACACGTTTCTCCCACCGTGTTTCCTACCAGTCAGGATAATCATACCTCAGGAGGGCTGTTAGGATAACAGACACGTGCCCGTTTGCATCCTGGCTTCAACCCTTAGTTTTCCTAAAGCAAAATTCTTATTAGTTACTAGTCAAGGATCATCGAGCCTTTTCCCCATAAAGAGCTATTTTGTTTGTTGTTGTTGGTTTTTTTGTTTTGTTTTGTTTTGCTTTTTGAGAGAGGGTCTCACTTCATTACCCAGGCTGGAGTGCAGTGGTGTGAACATGGCTCACTGCAGCATCTACCTCCTAGGCTCAAGTTATCCTCCTGCCTCAGCCACCCGTGTACCTGGAACCACAGTCTTGTGCCACCATGCCCAGATAATTTTTTAATTTTTTTGTAGAGATGAGTTCTCACTTTGTTGGCCAGGCTGGTCTCAAACTCCTAGTCTCAAGCGATCCTTACGAAGTGCTGGGATTATAGGTGTGAGCTACTGTGCCCTGCCCAATAAGGAGCTATTTTGCAGGTGTACATCTCTTGAAACTGTAAATAAACTAGCTATCAAGTCAGGCACATTTAATTTGGATGCCTAAACATGTCACTTTTAAGGAAAAAATTGTTCCATAGAGATTATGTTACTTGTGTGTTCTGATGAGTGCAGAACAGTCCAACTTTGAAGCCCTGTAAAATACTTTGAGCATGTTTCATTTGAAAACTACATGTGTTAGTAATGGGTTTTCTATCCCTGTATTTGAAAGATATGGCATAATCCACGCTGGTGGGGTAGGGAAATATCTCAGTGACTGGATCCTGCATGGAGAACCTCCTTTTGATCTGATAGAATTGGATCCAAATCGCTATGGCAAATGGACAACCACCCAGTACACTGAGGCCAAAGCAAGAGAATCATATGGATTCAACAATATTGGTAAGGTACAAATGTACTGTTGTCTACAAAGTGTTGACAAAATTGAATTGTAGCATCTCTGACTTTAGATGGTCTTTATTCTATTCACTGGGATGGCGGTAGTTAGGGACTCCAAAATGCATTGTGCCCCTAAAACATAACAAGGAATGTATATGGATATATATATTTAACATGTGGAATGCCTCGCTGGTTTTAAATTTTAAATATATTTTTACTTTACTCTTTGATGAGTCATATAAATGACAGCTCTGTTTTCTGCATAAATCATTCATATGTATGTATATATGTATGTATGTATGTTTATGCATCTGGATTTTAAGTACTGTATTTCCATACTTGGAATCCCATCAAAGTATCTTGTTTTGGCTATATGTGATTTATAGTACCAATTTTCCTTTTTCAGTTGGTTACCCTAAAGAAGAACGGTTTGCTGGGAGACCCACTCAACGAGTCAGTGGGCTCTACCAAAGGCTGGAGTCTAAGTGTTCCATGGGGTTCCATGCTGGCTGGGAGCAGCCACACTGGTTCTACAAACTGGGCCAAGACACTCAATACAGGTGGGAGAAGGACTTTACCTGCCTGTGGTTCTGACTGAGGGATGAAATAATGGGACAGCAAAAAGTGCTGATTCCCCCTTACACTCCATTTCTCCACCCTGTTCCAAGGAGCACTGAGCCTTGTCCTACAAAAATTACTTTCTGGCAGTGGTGGCATTAGTCTAGCCCACGGGACACTGGCCCACATCTAGGACTTATGTGGCCCTGCGCGTCCTATAGCCGGTCTTGGCGAAGCCTCTTGGCATTTACCAGAAGCTCAGAGGAATCTTCCAACCCCCCTCCAAATTCCCACATGGCTTCAGTTGGCTCCTAAAGGTTTGCTGTATTTTAGGATGCTTCATGGAATCACATTGTGTATAACCACAAAATGTGGTTTGGGATTTTCTGTTCATCCTGAAATCGCTCAAAGCAACTGCATCCTAGAGTGTGTGCACTGAGCCATGCAAATTATATGCACAGTTGATAAATTAGGGGAAAAGATCACTTGCATAGCATTCCAGGTTAAGCAAAAACATAAAGTATGCCACTAAAACAGTTCTCTGAGTTCTGGTAAAGTGCTACCTGCCATTGTTGTACTTTGGATTAATAGCGATTATATATTTTTTCCTCAAGAGAATCCACAGACCAAGGGAAAACAAGATGCAAATTTGGAAGTTATGTTATCCTTATTTTTGAGCTGTCATTTTGCTTTTTACAATAGGTTTTGCTATTTTAAGACTAGATCTAATTGGTACAAAGTATAGCAGAGAACCCATTGTTGATGAATGAATTTGGGCTCTATAGGCAGCCAATCTAGATTATCTAGTGGCCAAATACTGATTTGGTTTTTCCTAAATGACTCTAATATATCACTTCTACTCTTCACTTACCGCTGATTGGATCTGGCCTAAGTTTCTTCTACCATTTAATAATTAAACTACTGAAAATTCATGTTACAGACACGGCATCCTGCTCTGAAGTTAAAATACCACATTAGAAGTCCACTTCGTAAAGCAGAAAAGAACTTTAGTAATGAGTCAAGAGACCTTTGTTCCAGGTCTGGCTCTGTCATTAACTAATGCAAAGGCCTTGGAAATCATTTTGTGCCTTTTCTCTGAAAAATGAAGATTTGGGACCAGATCCTTATGTACCCCAGGTGTGGACCAACAGCATAGGCATCTCCTGGGAGCCTGGGAGAATGCAGACTGTGGGGTCCCACACCATACCTGCTGCTTCAGAATGTGGACTTTAACAAGTGCAAGTGATTTGTATTCCCATTAATGTTTGAGAAGCACTGAACCAGATAGCTCCACCCCGCCCCCCAACCCAGACACTGATATAATTAGGCCCATTTTAAAAAGCTCTCCAGATGATTCTAATATGCATCTAGGATTGAAAACCATCAGACTGGTTGACTTCTAAACTCTCTTCCAGATCTGAGAGCCCATGAATTGTATCTTATTTTCCAGTTAATCAGCACTTTACTCACTGTGAAATGGGTCAAAGGGATAAATGAGTAACTTTAAAAGATTAGATTCCAACATACATGAATGATTTGCAGAACAGAATTTCAGGTTGCATGGTCCCGCCTCCCAGAGTCCCACTCCCCACTGCCCATAGGATTTTCTAGATGAGTAGGGCTTATTAAAATATCCTATTCTGTAATTTTTGAAAAATGAACGGCAGTTGTTTTATGACACTAAATGTTGTGTTTCAGGCCAAGTTTTCGTCGCACAAACTGGTTTGAGCCTGTGGGCTCAGAGTATAAACAGGTTATGCAAAGAGTAGGGGTAACTGACCTATCACCGTTTGGCAAGTTTAACATCAAAGGCCAAGATTCCATTAGACTACTGGACCATCTCTTTGCAAATGTCATTCCAAAGGTAAATAGCCTTGTAGGGATACAAGGTCCAGGATTCTGACCTATTTAATTCTTCACCTCTCATTTCCCTACCCCCCGACCAAACCCACATGTTATTTTAGTTCACCTAATGATTTCTGGATGAACACTAGAACTCTTCAACTGACCAAAAGTATACAAGCTAATTTTCTTTCTTTTTTTATTTTCTTTTTGAGAGACAGAGTCTTGCTCTGTCACCCAGGCTGGAATGCAGTGGTGTGATCTTGGCTCACTGCAACCTCCTCCTCCCAGGTTCAAGCGATTGTCCTGCCTCAGCTTCCCAAGTAGCTGGGACTACAGACATGCACCACCAGGCCCAGTTAATTTTTGTATTTTTTTGGTAGAGACAGGGTTTCACTATATATTGACCAGGCTGGTCTTGAACTCCTGACCTCAGGTGATCCACCCACCTCAGCCTCCCAAAGTGCTGGGATTACAGGCATGAACCACCGCACCTGGTCTACAAGCTAATTTTCAAATTTAAATTTTTGTTGAGTGAATTCTCATCCAAGGACCTTATGACTTTGCTTAATTGTTTTGATGGTAACTTAAAATTGAATTCTGCAATTAAATGAAGAATAACTTTTAAATGACAAAGAATTTTAAATGATTGTTTAAATGGAGAACTTCAAATTACTGTTGGGTTTAGGTTTACAGATAATTCACACAATTGATACGAATGGTAAGAGTCAGATAGTTTTCATTCTTAACACCCACGTTGTTACTTAAATAGGTGTTAAAAGGATGTATGCGATTTTTAGTTCATCCTAAGGTAATTTAAAATGTTTTTATGTAGGTGGGTTTTACAAATATAAGTCACATGTTAACACCCAAAGGTCGAGTGTATGCTGAGTTGACTGTTTCTCACCAATCTCCTGGGGAGTTTCTTTTAATTACTGGCTCTGGATCAGAACTTCACGATCTTAGGTAAGTGCACACCTAGTAAGAAAATTTTGTACACATTATATATTGACTCAATCTTACATTGAGTTTTTCTTTTTACCAGTACTCGAAAGTACAACTTTATTTCTTCTTAAACCTAATGGTTTCAAATAAACTTTATATTTTTTATACAAAAATATTAGAAATGAGGGCCCCTGCCCCTCCCAAAGGTAATTCATCCATAGGTTACTGGTTCTAATAATATTAATTCCATTTATTAGGCATCATCAATGTGCCAGAACCTTTTTTAGACATTACCTTAATAAATTCTCTTCATATATTGCAAGGTTTATATGATTCCCATGGTCAGATGCGGAAACCGAGGTTTGGATTAAGGGAACTTACTCACCCGAGCTTTTTGATTCTGATGTCCACATTCGGTCCACTTCTGTAAGCTGCCTTCCTAAATTATCTTTGTCCTTTGTGATGCTTTGTGCTTTCTGGCCCACAGCTAGATCTAAGTTGCTGACCTGCCAAGTCCAACGTTTACATGAATCTTTATTCTACTATAAAGTCTTTAATATTCCGAAAACATTTGGAATATTATTGTTTAATAAATGTCTTACTCTGACAGATTCTCGCCTTAGTTGTAAAGTGATGCAAATTATATGCTCCAATCCAAGAAGTACTGGGGCCATCTTAATAGCTTAGCTTTGTGTAAATCCAGATGAACATTCTGTGATATACTTAGACAGCTCAAGGACTGCTCAATAAATTAGAAACCAGCCCTATAGCTGGGTCCCAATAACTCATCAAGCCATAGAAATTGAAACTAGAGTTTCTGTCTTTTCCTTGTGATTGTCAGAGCAATTACGTGTCCTGTGGCAGGCACATGATTATCCTTTAGCAACATGAGTATACTCCTGTGTACAGGTATTAGAGAAAATTTGGGTTTAAATTAATTTTTTAAGGCTGAATCATTAGTTTAAATGCAAAAGGGCTGTGTCACTATTTAAAAGAATTGTGCAGCAGAGCTCATTAAATTGAAGGATCCTTCTGTACTGTGAAAAATTACCCCCCAAATTTATAAGTGGGTGATTTAAAGAGAATAACTTAACACCTCAGGGGCTCAGTTTCCTCAACTTTAAACATCACTGTGATTTCATGAAATGACACTCTGGGGACTTTCTGATAACTCTAGACACAAAGCATGTCTTCAGAGAAATAATTTGTTACCAAGGTACATTATTCAAGCAATATTTAACACCATGTTCATGACTGAAACACAGATGGATTGAAGAAGAAGCAGTCAAAGGTGGATATGATGTTGAAATTAAAAACATAACCGATGAGCTTGGAGTCCTTGGAGTTGCTGGGCCACAGGCAAGAAAGGTCCTTCAGAAACTGACCTCTGAAGATCTCAGTGATGACGTTTTCAAGTTTCTTCAAACCAAGTCCTTAAAGGTTTCCAACATTCCTGTCACTGCTATTAGGATATCTTATACTGGTAAGATTGGAAAATAACCTGGAGTAAGTCTCTGAAATTTAAAAGGTCAATTTAAATTTTAAAATTAAAAGGTCATGTCACCAGAAATGTGTGGGTGTGTACACATGTGCACACTCACACTCACTTTTGTCCATGCGACTTTGGAGGAAGGTTTTTGTTCTGCCCAGCTCTTATGTCAAGTCTGTCTATTCACTCCTCATCTTGAAAGTGGTTCCACAGATTTCTAGTTGTTGCTCCAGTCCCATAGCTGCCTACCATCTGGAAGGACAGACAAAAAAGTGGGGGCTGGGTGCTGTGGCTCACACCTGTAATTGCAGCACTTTGGGAGGCTGAGGCGGGTGGATCACCTGCAGTCAGGAGTTCAAGACCAGCCTGACCAACATGGGGAAACCCCGTCTCTACTAAAAACACACAAAATTAGCCGGGCGTGGTGGCGCATGCCTGTAATCCCAGCTACTCTGGAGGCTGAGGCAGGAGAATTGCTTGAACTCAGGAGGTGGAGGTTGTATGAACCAAGATGGCGCCACTGCACTCCAGCCTGGGCAACAAGAGTGAAACTCTATCTCAAAAAAAAAAAAAAAAAAAAAGAAAAAAGTGGGAAGAGGATTGGCTGAAATAGTCAGGCCAGCCAACTCTATCTGCAAACATTCAAGATGGTCTCCTGGAGCTAGAATCTCCCATAGAGACCATTTCGAAGGTATCAGGTACCTCTCCTAGAGCATTGCCAACAATCCGTCTTTCGTTCCAGACTGTAAGTTCACTGAGAAGTCTTCATCTAGCACCTAACCTTGCACATGGTAAGTATTTGATACAGAGATGAATGAATGCTCTTCAGTTCCCCAGTGGTGCTCTGGGCTCCCTTCTAAGTTTTTCTAGAACTCTTTGTCTCTCACAGGAGTACTGCATGCCCAAGCATTCATTCAATTATATGTTGCTCCTATTCTGTGGTATCCCATAAAAACACCTTACCATGAGCCTTCCACTTTGGGAAATGAGAACACAGATTGAAGACCGTGGCTCTTCCCTGGACTGCTGTTATACCTTTTCCCTGCCCTTCTTCCACCCAATCTTGGCAAATTCTAGAATAAAAAGTTAGCAGGGCTGGATGCAGTGGCTCATACCTGTAATCCCAGCACTTTGGGAGGCCATAGTGGGAGGATTGATTGATTGTCCCAGGAGTTCAGGACCAGCCTGGGCAACATAGTGAGACCCTGTCTCAACAACAACAACAAAATAAGACAAAAACAAAACAAGAACAAGAAAAATAAGCAGGATTTTTTTAGTTAAATTTCATTTCTTTTGATTTTTGCCCACAGCTCTACTGGTGAATGAAATGACTAGGGAAGAAGTGGGAGGGAGAGAAGTCCGAGAGTATGGGTTTCTCACTATGAGGATAACTTGAATAATTCTTAATTGACTATATTTTTAAGCTTATGATTTTGGGGCAAGGGGTTGGTTTAAACCTTGAACTCGTTGCCTTGATAAACTGTGCCATGCTAACTATTCACCTAATGTCATTGTCCCGGAAAACAGTCAAGCCTCATTAGAAAGCTGGGGTCCAGGGTGGAGAATAATTCCTGCATTACAGTCTTTCTGTGTCATGACAAGAGGTGTCCTGCATACCACCACCTACATGGGAGTCAGGATCAGCACGAATGCATCTGTGATATGGTGGGTTTCTTTGCAGTGGGGTCTTGTAACTTTTTGTGAGCTGGTCTTTTTAGAGACTGACAATGCCTATGTTGCTTAAGTGGAATTTCTCCTGCTTTTATGTGTTCTAGCTAATGCACATTAGATCTAGTGATCATTGTTCTTGCTGTGCTGCGGCACCTGTGGGTTTATTTCAGGTGAGCTGGGTTGGGAGCTCTACCACAGAAGAGAAGATTCTGTGGCACTGTATGACGCTATCATGAATGCAGGCCAGGAGGAGGAAATCGACAATTTTGGAACCTATGCCATGAATGCCTTACGCCTGGAGAAAGCCTTCAGAGCCTGGGGGTCAGAGGTTTGAAATGCTAGCATCTTTATTAATATTTTATGTTTATCTCATTTTTATATAAGGACTGGTTTGAATTGCAATAACGTTGGTTTTGGCTGTAAGAGAAATTACGTATCATTAGATAACTTTATTTCATTAGGGAAAGAGGTTTTTCTCCTTAATTTCTCAAGTGAAACTTCAGTGGAATTCCGACATCATATTTATTCTGCCTTAATTCATCCTAGCTGGCTGAGGGCCCTAGACAATCTGTCTTGGACTGTGGGGAGCCTGCCTGCCTCGTGGCATTAGAGTAACACTTTTCACAGTCTCTCCTCCTCTGTCATTTTGCCCGTCTTCATTTTCTTCTTATCTTGTACCTTTTGGTGAATTAGCACTCCTTTCCGAGGGGCAGGAGTGATGGTCCAGAATGTGGTGGTCCAGCCTTCCTCCACCATTAATAATGGTTAAGAGTTTCTATTTGTATGACTGGGCGCGGTGGCTCACGCCTGTAATCCCAGCACTTTGGGAGGCCGAGGTGAGAGGATCACAAGGCCAGGAGTTCGAGACTAGCCTGGCCAATACAGTGAAACCCCATCTCTACTAAAAACACAAAAATTAGCCGGGTGTGGTGGTGCACACCTGTGGTCCCAGCTGCTCGGGAGGCTGAAGCAGGAGAATTGTTTGACCCCAGGAGGCAGAAGTTGCAGTGAGCTGAGATTGCGTCACTGCACTCCAGTCTGGGTGACAGAGTGAGACTCCGTCTCAAAAAAAAAAAAAAAAAAGTTTCTATTTGTATAGTGCTTTAACCATTTACATATTTTCATATGCATGATTTCATTTTCCTTCTCAACTCTCCATTACCTCTATTTTACACATAATAACACTGAGACTTAGAGAACCACTTGGTCCTGATTACCTAGTAAGTGGCCAACCTGTGATTTAAACTCTGTTCTCCTGCTTTATTTCCAATATGGCAGGCTATCTCTGGACCCATTCACTATTTCAGATTTACTAGTTGTTTCTTTGGAAGACACTGAGGTTTTAGGCCTGAAAGGTAAGATAAGGGATAGTGGTAAAAGATGGACTCAGAGTGGGGACTCTTGGGTTTGAATTTTTCCTCCACCACGCACCAGCTATCTGGCCTAGCCCTCCAGAACTTCTGTTTGCTTTTCTAAGAAATGGATTTTTTTATGCTACAGAATTATCATAGATAGTAGAGAGAGTCTAGGAAGTGCCAAGCACATAATAAAGTGCATTTGATTGGAGGGGAGAGTGTGTTTCAAAGCCCAGGCAGGGACCCCGGGGGCATTCAGAGTACGCAGAAGCAAGTGGGCAAGGTCTCTGTGAGAGGTCCCCATTGGGATTCTCTAGCTACAACTGGGGACTGAGGCGAGGATAGGCGCAGGACAGAAACGGAGGACAGCGCTGTCCCCACACTCTCCGGGTAATGAAGCAGCGGGAGCAGCCCTTTGAGAGTCAGACATTTCTCCACCCTCCTGCCTTTTATTTTTTCAGATTTCCTCTCCCTGCGACCTCCTCTGGAGAGCTTTTCTTCCCCAGGCCCTCCAGTTTCCCAGCAGTGCCACAGCGCCCTCTAGTGTTGGTACTGCAATCCTGTGTGCTTCGTTTTTATTTTTCTTTGAAGAAATTCTGAGATTTTGAACAGATAAAAATAATTTTAGAATAGCTCAAATTGATTAAGAAATATGAGGCAACGTTTTATGTCATGTAAAACAAGCATTCCTTCATTTGGTTTATGTAGGTGCTGTGTTGCTTTAAAAGTTTGACTACTTTTAGGGGATTTAGACTAGTTCTCTCACTGCAAAGAGAACAACAAAACAAAGAAAGAAACAAAACCATTAACTTCAGGTCTATTACCAAATACTGCCGTTAGCCCTGACTTGGTAGCTATCACAGTGACTTGGCCACATTTGAAGAGATAGAAATTCAAACTCTGCTTTTTCCTTTCTCCTCTCCTGAACTCTATCAGCCACCTTCCTACCATTTGCTTTCCCTCCGCCTTACCCTGATTCTTGGTTAATTGTAACATAAGTAAATTGCTTAATAACTTTTCAAAACATAGTTATGTAAAATTATTGCATAAAAACATGTGAAAATCTTGTTTCTAGAAGGAACATCGCGTGCATTCCCTCAGATGTTTATTAAAATGAGAGAGCTGTGGAAACACAGTGAATTTTAGTTTCTATATTTGTTATATTCAGATGACCAGTTTTGCTGAAAGGCTACATTGAATTTTGGATTAAAAAATTATTTTCAAAACCAGTCTATCATTTGCCTTTCTTTAGAATCTGTGTTGAAAAATCAAAAAGTGTTCTTTCTCCTAAAAACAAATATGAAAGTGATGTTACCGAAATGATTTGCACTCATCTAAGATTTAAAATGTGTGTTTCCTTTTTAGATGAACTGTGATACAAATCCTTTGGAAGCTGGACTGGAATATTTTGTGAAGTTAAATAAGGTATGTTTACATTCCAAAGGGTACTTGAAGTAAATCTTAACATTACGATGCTATTTTGTGACAGAGCCATGCTTTAAACTTTAACCAAGTATGGGTTATAGGAGAAACAAGGTGAACATAAATACTAGCATTGCTCAATTGTGTCATATTACTCTTTTGTCAACATTTACTTAGTTCAAACTATTGGAGTGTGCTTGCAGATTTAAGATAGCAGAGTCCAGCATCTTTAAGGGCTAAATCTAAATTCTAAGAGAAAAATTAGTAAGGATAAGATGATTACCTGTCAGATTCTAGTAGACATTCATGTTGGAAGTGCGCCATGTTGTGTATTTTACAGTAACTCCTGGTGACTCGGGAAATTGCACATTAGCTGATCTAACATACTGCATTCATTGATCCTTCTGGATACTCGCAGCGTGGAGCAGCCTCGCTTCAGCAGATCTGTCCATCTGCTTGTCAAGCATCTTTGTGTGTAACAGCAACATCTGAATATAAACAAGAAACTAATACAAGCCAAAGAATCATAACTGATAAGACACTCCAAAGGGAACTCCTACATCAGTGGTTCTTAAAATGTAGCCTTCAGACTAACAGCATCAGCCTCACTGGGAGCTTGTTAGAAATGCTAATTCTCAGGTCCCACCCTAGAACTACTAAATCAGAATCTCTGGGAGTCAGGCCAACAAATCTGTTTTAACAGCCCCTGCAGGGGATTCTCATGCATCTAAGGTTTGAGAAGCATTACTCTAAATGATTACGGTGGAAAAGCATATCACGAGGCCAATTTATTAAAGCCAACCTCATATGTACAAGTCTTAAAAATATAAATGAGGTTACTCCATTGAGCAATGCCTAAGAATGATAATAAAAGAACTTAACAGAGCTGTGGGGAGTGGTAGTATTGAAGAACAAGGGCAGCAGCGGCTACTGTTTAGGACATTTGTTAGAACTCCAAAAATAAAACGTCCTGCTCTAGGTGGTTATAAGCTAAAGACTGATTTCCCATCCTGTGGAAATACGTGAATACATGTATATGACTCAATCAGGCCAAGGAAACCTTTTTCATGACCCTGCGTCAGTTCCCAAATTCTCAGCTATAATATTAACATAAAACATGTGTATTTATAGTATGAGATTTTAGGAAAAAGAGCCTCCTAAAGGGTTTTAAAGGGAATATCTTTCTGTACATTCTCCCCATGGCTTTTATTTTTATGATGTACCATCTGCCTCCAGACCAGAGAAAGCAGGTGCTTGGAATTTGGGCAGACCCTAGCAGCAGATTGCTCCCTCTGATAGCAGAAGCCTTACTTTAGCTATTTCAAATAAGGTTAAAAATGGCCTGACTCTTGAAAGTGCTAAATTTCTGTTGTTGGTCACCAATAGGTAGATAGATAACTGATTCTTTTGCTTCAGTGTTCAGATATTATTGTTTAGGGATAAGGCATAGATAAATAATCCCCTGGAATTGAAATGGGATTTTCAAAAATCTTTTACGATTATTAGCAGGGGTGGATTTTGTATTTGTTAGTTAAGTTATATGGCCAAATAACCAAAACTCATCTCAGAATGAAGTTAGTTGTTTGACAGATACTAGTTTTGATTTCTGGCATGTTTTTATAATTTCTGAATTGTTGTTTCCCATTCAAGTGTCACAAAGTTAATTCCTAATGATTTTATAGGGTAAAAGTCCTTGTATCCCAAGGACCTGGCCCCCAACTAAGCCAGTCTTTTTCAGTTATGTCAATTCAAGTGGCTAGTTGGTATTAACCTACTCATAATGATGCTTGCTAATCTCCAAGAAAGGTGAATAGATTAGATCAACTTTGGTGGTTTTCGTAGCAGTCTATATTATGAAACAGATTCCTGGAAAACTTACTAAAATTACAAACTAAGCTTTGTAGCTTGACCATTCAAGTCCTGTGCCTAAAAACTAAAATGTTACCCAAACTGGCTTCATATAACATTTTAAATACTGTAAGCCTATATTGCTTCAGAAAATCGATGCTATAGGAGAACAGAAGCAACAGCTAATACAGAGAGATATTTATATTTGATACCAAAACAAACACAGCAAAAACCTTGGCATTTTACAATTGTTTGAAATCAGCTACTTCTTTCCCTTCAAAGCAAACATATAGAATTTTCTGGTTTACCCTTAGGCATTTACACAATGATCGTTTAAGCCATGATGTGAAGAAAAGGTAGAAGCAGACTATGTCAGAGCTAGATCAGTCCCGGGGGATCACCTGGTACTCCCCTCCCCCATCTGAAGTGGGGAAACTGAAGCACAGAGAGGGAAAGTGACCTGGGGGAGGCCATTGCTTTAGCTCAGGTCGAACGCCACCCTCTGACCTCATCGTGGAGCTTTCCCACCCACCACTTTCCCCCCACAAAGTCCTTTTCCACAGTGGGCTTATCAGACTTGAAAGACTGCCCAGGAATTTCTCTCTCTGGCAACATATATTATTTGTATGGGTTACCTTTTATTAATGGACACTTCCCCCACATGTTTTTGCTATAACTAATTTTGTGTTTTATGATCAGGTCAGAATAGCTGCTTTGCCCATTTTAAGGAGGAAAATGGCTGGGTGAGCAGATGGGCCATCAGGCCTTATTAGGGTGAATCGTGTTCTTGTCAAACCCTGCAAGAAAGCAGGGAAAGAACAATGGAGTACTGAAGAACTCTTTCATCACAAAGGGAGACAGTGCAGTGGCCCTTGCTTCCTTCCCTCTTGGAGTTGTCCCAGCCTCCTTCCGCTGGTGTTGGCTTATGTGAAGTTGATACACGTGTCATTCATTCATCCATTCATCTAGAACACATTTATTAAGTACTGCTGATTAGACACCTTGCTAAACCATAGGTCTAAATGTTAAGGATATACTCCTGATAGCTCTCAGATCTCACGAAACTGGAAACAAATGGTATTTCAGGAACTAAAGCTGTAGGGATACCTTCTTAGCCGTAATTGTGAAGATAACCCTTCCACAAGCAGAGGGCTCTGCAGCCGCATACAACACTGCCACCTTGTGGGAAGTGCTCCATACAGCCCTGCCAGGAAGCCTTGACCAAAGCTGCGGTAAAAATAATTGAACCTGCGCTTTTAAAATCTTCTTAACTAAAAACCCTTCACCTGAAACAACTCACATCATTGTTCTCAATGGTATTTTTGGTATGTTCCAAAGGAAGTAACTTTTTGGGGGAAAATCAGTGGCCTTTTTTTAGTTGGAAATTGAAGAAATGCATTAATCAAGAGCAAAAGGAAAATCAGCTGCCTTTGGATGGAGTCATAGGTATTCCTGGAATTTTCCTTGTGGAAATACTGAATTTTTGTCTATTTCTGAAGAACTTCCATGAAGACTCACAGAGACTCAAGTATTAAGCGTAATGTGTTGAAGCAGGTCAGAAGAACTTGTTTTCTATAACATGTTTCTCCCTCTCTCTTCCTCTCCTTCTCCCTCTCTTTCCCTTTTTCTCTCTCCTTCCCCTCTCACCCTGTCTGGAGCTTCTAACCAGTAGAAACAGAATAAAATGTGATTTCTATTAACCATAAGTTGTAAGACAGTGTTGATTCTAGAAAATGCAGGGTCTCTTTCTGAGGAAAGATTTAAAGCATAACTGTTCAATAACCAAAAACAAAACAACCCGAAACACCTGTTAAAGAGGTGAAACACTCAGCACCAAGCCTTCTACACCCCAGGTATTCAGTAAATATTAGCTATTATTAAAACATCAGTGTTAAAAAAACAAAGAAAAAATCAAAGTGGAATGAAACCATTGTTCATAGACAACAAGTTAGAAAGAAATTGTTAATATAGTGGTCAAAGTATCCAATTCTCTTTGGGAAATTTGAGGTAAATGGTAGTAAGAATTGAGGAGGCAGAAAATTTTCAGTGATACTTAGCCCTGACTGGACATTAGAATCATCTGGGGTTTGATTCTTTTAAATAATATATTGCTGTTTAAAATCCCAAGGCCTAGGCTACACCCAAGAGGAATTGAAAAAGAATCCATTGTAGGGACTCAGGCATCAGTTGTTTTTAATTCCCAGGTGATTCTCCAGAGATGGAGAATTACTGTTTTCAACCAAAGATTTTCAACTGGCTGAACATATTATCCCAAACAACTAAAAATTACCTGAACTAAAAGAACTAAAAACTAACCAAGTAGTTCTCAAGATGTGGTCCACACACCAGCAGCATCACTGTCACCTGGGGACCTGCTAGAAAATTCAAATTGTTGGGTACCATCCCAGACCTCCAAAATCAGAAACTGCCAGGGTGGAGCCCAACTCTCTCTCTCTCTCTCTCTCTAATCTATCTATTTTTATTGAGGAGTCTCGCCCTATCGCCCAGGCTGGAGTGCAGTAGTGCAATTTCGGCTCACTACAACCTTCGCCTCCCAGGTTCAAGCAATTCTCTTGCCTCAGCCTCTTCAGTAGCTGGTATTACAGGCGCCCGCCACCATGCCCAGTTAATTTTTGTATTTTTAGTAGAGACGGGGTTTCACCATGTTGGCCAGGCTGGTTTGCACTCCTGATCTCAGGTGATCCACCTGCCTCAGCCTCCCAAAGTGCTAGGATTACAGGTGTGAGTCATCGCACCTGGCCCAACAATCTATTCTAATAAGCCCTCCAAGTAGTTTCAATGCAGTTTATTTAAGAACACGGACCTACCCCAAATCAATTAGATTTACTCTAGGTGTAGGGTCTATGATTCCTTTTTAAAGCTCCACAGGTGATTTTTTTTTTAATGCAGTGAATATTGAGAACCACTGTTTTAGTTCTTTTCATACCAACTACAGTCTTGAAAGTACCTAGGAAAGTAGAAAAACAGGCGGGTTGGTCAGAGGATGGTGCTATAGAACTGTGGTGGAATGGAAGTAAATTGATAGATCTAGAGCCTATTTCGGCTAGGCTACAGGTTCGTATTCTGCCCCACATCTTTGTGTTTGCTTTTGGAACTGGGTAGTAAGTGAATTTTTTTTTTTTTTTTAAGTCACC